TTATTCAATTTTTGTAGCCATTCAAACATTCATTATTGACGAGGATTGTTCTCAGAATCGGCTGAAAAAATACAAATATTTAACCGTTAAATGAAATAAGAAAAGCTGTGTGCTATTAATAAATAATAATAACATCTGAATATATAACACAATAATAGTTCTTCCAAATATTTTGGGAACCATATTCGACTACCTTATGATAGTTGTTGAAATAAATTATTATTTACCTTTATGAATGTGTTTAAGAATAATTTATTCGACACTCATTTATTTCCTACCCCTAATTATTTGTACCCTTTTCACTATATAAAAAGGGATACAAATCAAATAATCCCTTCACTTTAATATTTCATCTTCAAACTGAAATAAATATCATCTATTAATTAAAAAGTAAGTCAAAGTGTTTTTATTAAATCTCCCGACCTTCAACAGGTTATGGGCCCTCAAGTGAAGGCCAGGGAAAGTGTTAAAAAGTGAAAGTTAAATTCTAAAAGTGATAATCAATTCTAATTTCAGATGTCTTACGGAGACGCATTCAAATTCGAGAAATTAAATGACTCGAATTACGCTTCATGGGCTTTCAAAATGAAGGCGCTTCTTAAGAAAGAAGGTTGTTGGGATTCAATTAAATCCGAGTTGGAAGCTGGCCCAATGTGCCCAGCGGTGCTTGCCTCTGATCAGAAGGCGTTAAATCTGATTGTGCTAGCAATAGACTCCGAGCAGCATCACGTAATTGAAGATGCAGAAGGAGGACTCCAAGCATGGATAAAATTGCGGGAACATCACATCCCAAATAACTTGTGGGCGCGTACACGAGCAAAGCGTCGTTTGAATGCACTGAAGCTTGAGTCAGGCGATTCAATGCAGAAACATCTGCAAAAGATTTCTGAAAGCGTCCATGAATTAAATCAAATGGGCGCGAAAGTTAGTGAAGAGGAAGTCGTGAGCCTCATCCTAACTAGTCTCAACGAAGATTACGACAATTTAATCATCGGTTTGAATACGTGGGAATCGAGCAAGTTGTCATTAAAAATCGTGCACAGCCTGTTAATTGAAGAATCAAACAGAAAAAAGGAAAAAGAAGGCATTGAAAGACAAACAGCCCTAAATGCACGCAGACAATATGAACGCTTTGGAGATGAACGATTCTTGAAAAGCAATTTTGGAACAAAAGGAGCTTATGGAGGTCAATCAACCTCACGCAATTGGGCGAACGAACGCCAAAACAATGAAAAAACTTTTGAATTTCAAAAGAATATTTTTCAAAGGCCGGAAAAAACTTGCTTTAAGTGTAACAGGCCCGGTCATGTAGCCCGTGAATGTCAAACATTCAAGCCAAGGGCACATTACGTTGGAGCAGCTTTAGCCGCTAGATTAGGCGATAAAGTTGTTGAGAAAGGAAAACGAGCTTCGGTCAAGAAAGAAGAGGAAGCTGACAGTGATTATGAATTGTTAATTAATGAAGGTGAAAATTATGAATTGTTCTCAGATTATGAAACTGAAATAAAGCCGAATTCGGCAAAAATGTCACGTTTACAGTATTCAAATTCTTTAAGTAATTCTAAAGTTAAAAATTTACAGAATTGGATAATTGATTCAGGCGCAACAACTCACTTATGTTCTGAGTTAAATTTGTTTAAAAACTTTAAGAAAGGTAATTTTGGAACAGTCGTAATTGCAAATGGAATGTCCCTTGTTTCAGAAGGTATTGGTAATATCAGTTTATCACTTGGAGAGGGAGAAGAAAAGTTTGAAATAAATTTATGTGACGTTCTTTATATTCCATCCCTTAATACAAATCTACTCTCAGTTAGAATGCTCACTTCAAGTATAAGTGAATTGAAAATAATATTTTCAGACAATTATTGTTATTTACAAACAACAAATGAAACAGTAAAGATTGGAAAATATAATAATGGTGCATATGAAGCATTATTAATAAAATTGGAGTGCTTATATACAAAGAAAGAAAATGAGCGTTGCATTCACCAATGGCATCGTAGTTTAGCACACAGAAATTTAAAAGATGTAATTAAATATTTGAATAAAATAGAAATAAAAGCAAAGAAATGTGAATGTTCTGATTTTTGTTCTGCATGTACTAGAGGCAAATTAAGTCGATTATCATTTCCTAAAGAATCTAACACAACATATGAAAGACTTGAATGTATTGCTAGTGATGTCTGTGGTCCTTTTGCAATTGAATCCGTAGGTGGTTCAAGATATTTTATAACTTTCACAGATTTGCATAGCGGATATACAGAAGTTGAATTTCTTAAAAGAAAAAGTGATGCCACCAAAAAGTCAATACAATTTATAGAAAACATTAAAACTCAATTCAATATAAAGCCAAAAATTTTCAGAACTGATCGTGGGGGAGAATTTGTGAATAAATATTTTCAAGAATATTTAAATGATGAAGGAATTAAATTTCAATACACAGTAGCATACTCTCCGCAACAAAACGGAGTATCTGAAAGAAAAAATAGAACTTTAGTAGAAGCCGCAAGAACAGTTTTAATTCAAGCCAACTTACCAAAAAATATGTGGGCGGAAGCAATAAATTATGTGAATTATACTTTTAATAGAATTCCGAATAATAATTTAGCGGAGGCTTGTCCCCTTGAAATGTTTTCAAAGAAGTTCGAAAATTCGGAATTTTACGAATTTGGCTCAATTGTTTATGTCGTAACACCAAAAGAAAAACGAAAGAAATTAGATGATCGCGCAAAAGAAATGAGATATTTAGGAATACCAAATAACTCCAAAGGTTATAAAGTGCTAGATGAAGAGGGAGTTATCAGAATTTCTCGTGATGTTAAATTTATATGTGATTATAAAGATAATTTTAATTCAAAATGTAAAAATGAAATTGAGATAAATCCTTACAGTAATGAAAATAAAGAAATTGAATTAAACAAAGAAGAAAATGTTATTAATGAAGAAACGGAAAATTTAAAAATTGAAATATCATCAGATTCAGAATATGATTCTTTAAGTGATAGTGAAAACTTAAATAAATCTACAACTCAACCAGAAATTTCAGATTCTGTTATTACACCTTTAGCTACAAGTCGAACTCCAAGAAATACAAAAAAACCTGATCGTTTTGGTAATCCTGTTGCACACCAAGCTTGCTCTAAAGAAATAGAGCCAAAAACTTATAATGATGTTTTACATTCTGAATGTAAAAACGAATGGCTTGAAGCCATGAAAGAAGAAATAAGTTCAATTGAAAAACGTAAGACCTGGAGTTTAACAGATCTTCCTAAGGGAAGAAAAACTGTTGGCTCCAGATGGGTGTTCAAAAATAAAAATGATGAACATGGAAATTTAGTCAGGAGAAAAGCAAGACTTGTAGCGCAAGGTTTTACGCAAAAATTCGGAATTGATTTTGATGAAGTTTTTGCACCAGTTGCCCGTTCGAGTACTTTAAGAATTTTATTATCTTTTGCAGGTGTTAGAAATTATGAAGTAAAACAGTATGATGTAACAACTGCTTTTCTAAATGGAGATTTAAATGAGGAAATTTATATGAGGCAGCCACAAGGTTTTAAAACAGGAGAACAAGTGCTACATTTACACAAAAGCTTGTATGGTCTCAAACAAGCTGCTAGAATGTGGAATTTAGCCTTAAACAACGAACTCCAAAAGTATAATTGGATACAATGCCCTGTAGATAAATGTTTATATTCTGTAAAAAACAATGAAAGTATCTGCTATTTGATTGTGCATGTTGATGACATCTTAATAGCAACAAATGATATGGAATTTCTAAACAGAAAAATAAAGGAACTAAATAAAAAATTCGAAATTAAAGAACTTGGTAATATTAAACATTATTTGGGCATTGATGTGGAAAAAGATAACGCTGGGAATTTTATGCTATCACAAACAAACTACATTGATAAAATTGTTGAAGAGTCTGGACTAGAAGATGCAAAAATTTCTAAATTTCCTCTAGATCCAGGATATTTTAAGTTTATTGACGAAAAATTTCTCAAAAACAATGATGAATATCGCAAATTAATTGGAATGTTGTTATATTTAACTTGCAATTCTAGACCTGACATAGCTGCATCTGTTTCAATATTAAGTCAAAGAGTCTCTAATCCTCGGCAGTGTGATATGAATGAAGTAAAAAGAGTCATTAGATATCTAAAAGGAACAAAAAATCTCAAATTAAAATTAAGTAAACAAATGAATAAAAATATTTTTGAAGCTTATTCGGATGCCAATTGGGCAGAATGTAGAGAAACCAGTAAATCAAACAGCGGCTATTTTTGCAGCATTAATGGTGGAGCCATTTCATGGAGTTGTCGCAAGCAAGATCTAGTTGCTTTGTCAACAACTGAAGCAGAATACATTGCGCTATGTGAGACTTGTAAAGAAGTAATGTGGTTGAAGAAAATCATAGAATTTTTCGGAATAGACATTACTCATGAAATATTTCCAGTATACACAGATAGTCAAAGTTGTCTAAAATTAATAAAAAATGAAAAATTTAGTAACAGAACGAAACATATAGATACCAAATATCATTACACTCGTGATCTGTGCTCAAAGAAAGAAATCGAACTGAGATACGTACCAAGTGAAGATAATACAGCTGATCTCTACACCAAACCATTAGCAGCCATCAAAATAAAACAACATCGGGAAAAATCGGAACTTCTAGATCAACAAGAATAAAATAAATAAGTATCGAGAGGGAGTGTTGAAATAAATTATTATTTACCTTTATGAATGTGTTTAAGCCCTCAAACTTGTTAAATGAGATTTCAAAGTTAACAAAATTCAATAAATTTTAAGAAACCTTTAAAGGAACTTATTTTTTGCTTTTACAAGGATTTTCATCAAGAGTTTGAGGTGGGGATGTTTTTCAAAAACTTTTTTGAATATATTTTTATGTCATCGCACTTCAATATTTTATCGATAAATGAAAATTCATGAGTGGGATTTGTTGAAAATTGCAAGTTATTTGATGAAATCAGCATAATAATGACGAGAGTTCTACGAAATTGGTGAAAGGCGGTAAAACGGTAGGTCAGTAAACAAACCGTAAAGAAAAGCTCATCGAATGGAAGAAATTGATACTTAAACTTAATAAAAGTTTGGCGTTTATGTGGAAAGGAACAAACAAATTACTCACCTTGTCGGCGTTGTCACCTGACTAGAAAACGGATCGTCATTTGCGTCATAAAAGTCATCCTCGCCCTCAGAACTCGAATATGATGTCTCCGGAACTGAAAGACGAATCATTTTTCCAGCGTTATTAACTTGTTTGTATTTTTGGCACTTTCAAGCATTCGTTGGCTTTGATTCACACTTATGATAAAATTATATCATTCATTTTAAGACGCACATGTTCTTCTCATCTCATTATCATCACATCACATTATAAAGATTCACAATTCACTGTTCAAACAAACAAGCAAACAGGAAAAATGAAATTAAAAACTTTTGATTGCCAACAACACATCTGAATGACGAAAGAATTCACACTGAACTGGCACAAAGCAACACCAAAGAGAAGCACAGCCGATTCAGAGTGCGGAAGGAGAGAGACAGAGATGAAAGCTTCGGGGAATGGAAGAGATGGCGATGCGACTGCTTCTGTTTGTATGCTTCACAATGAGTGAGAAACGCCAGAGGGTTTATTGATGCAACAACAACGAGCGAATCATAACAGCCATAAAAAATCGTCGCAATAATTTTACATTCATTTGTTAGTGGCCCAATAAACAGTTAACGAAAATAGAAACGACAAACACAATTGCAATGAGAAGAATTCTAGATGAAGGTTTCAATTTTCTTTTCAAATCCCTGTTCGTAAAATTGAATTTGTTTATATATATTTTAAAAACCATGGTAGATAATGAATGTCGACAGATTATGCGTACATGAATAACGTGCCAAAAATAAGATTTATTTAAAAAGAAATTGAGGAAAAGTTTTATTGTAAATGTTCATGTGAACAGATAAAGTAAAGAACTTCAAAATTTAATTTTTCTTCTGAATTTCGTTAAGGAAAAATAATTTTCTGACATCTATCGCAAATCTTACTCTCGAAACTCATGGGAAGCATTATTTTGACATATTTTCGTGTGCTTCTGTTTTCCTGACAACCCTGACCTTTAACTAAAGCATGACATGAACATGAAAGAAAAATAAAACTTTTCGCAAATACGCGTAAGGAATGAATTCGAATCTCTGCTAACGAAAGTGAGTCTGAAGGTCGCCTTGCTTTCGTCATGTCTCATAGCGGGATAGAAGAAAAGGAAAAAGAAACATTTAAAGTTGAAAATAATTGCAAAATTGTTGACAGTTTTAAACATTTAAATATCTCAAAAACACAACACAAACATACAAAAAAGTTTCTCCCTTGGAATGCAAATAATAAAAGTGAAATTATTTCAACTACCGCTAATCGTTCGGCTTCTTTCAAGACACTCAGCACCAATTTCATCAATCGGATTTGCCATTTGTCTAACAACAACTAAATCACGTGTTGTGAAGAAAGAAGAAGAATAAGAATGAGAAATAAATTTCACCTGTAATTGGGAGAACGTCAATGTTACCTGGTGACGCCGTTGGATCAGGTTCGGTCTTCATCGGACCATTGTAGATTCCATTTATCGGATGAGCTGTGTTCTGAGCATATATAATATTGAATAAAATTAAATATTTTTCGAACGAAACTTCTGTTTCCACAAGTATATGGAAGTCAGTGACATTTTACCTTCGCTATTTGCAGTAGAACAATTGAATGTTTAATATGATCCAACATTGACTGAATAAAAAAAGAAAACAACATCGATACGTTATCGAAGTCTCAATTTATTTGAACTTACGTTTGCCTGCTCCCTTAATGCATCATATTTCTCCCTTTCTTCAGCATTTTCTATGGCATCAATTCGTTGTTCAATTTTCGTTGTTTGATCGATCATCATTTGCAAATATGTATCGGCTTCGCTTACTTTTTTATCAAACATAACAAGATAATTGTGTTTGCCACTTGTTGCCGATCCGCCCATGCTTTGGAGTGTTTGAGACGTGTCATAGTACACGCCACGACGGTGAGTGCTGCGCGCAATTGTATCTTCAAGATGTCTCACCCACTTTTCGCGCTCACCATCGCGTGCCTAAATAATCAATTCAAAATTTCCACTTTAAACATGAATTGCGGTCAATTATTTCACGGCTCAGCTCACCTGGAAGTGAAAAGTCTTGTGATCAACAGTGATGGTGAAGGTGTTGGCGTCTTGATCGTCAATGCCTATAACAGCGCCCTTTAGTCGAACACATCCTCGTCGTACACCCTTCATCATTTTTTCGCGTGACTAGTGAACAAGAAAATCGCGTAAATATTCAGAAATTCTGCTTTTCATTTTTTCTTTACGGTGAAAAAGCCTAAGCAACTTTACGAAAAAGCTATGAATCATTAACAGAAGTATTTGATGAAATTTTCCAAATGGGTTGACGCTTGGGTCGAGTTAAGTTCGTTTTAGGAACAAACATTTAATTGAGCGGAATATTTTACTTTCAGCTGATTTCTTATTAACGAAAGATTTTCCCATTCTCGAACGAATGAATTTCAACAATTTTTGTCGTCATGATGCTGCTTTTGACAAACGAAAATAACTAAAATTAATTATTAATCGATTGATACGTTTCACTATTGAATTACTTATTTATTTGAATTAGTTACTCGTTTAAATCGTTTAACAATTCCTAAAGTTCAATTTTTGTGTTATTCATAAATTAGCACAGAATGGAAAATATTTGCTTGAAATGCAATTTAATATCAGTTGGAGTTGAAACGTTAAAGATAGTTAAACAACAGACTAAACAATGTCGGGCGAACTTCTTTTCGATCCTTTTTTAACGATGAAAGATTTTCATCAAGTTTCTGGTAATTTCGATCCGCACAAATTGCCGTTTATGTCATCAATTTATCCAACGATTGTGATCATTTGTTTGTACTTCTTATCACTGAGACTGGGACAAGGGTAAGCTTCTAGTTTCTATATTATAAATACACGAAGTGATGACATTTATTATCTCTTATTAGATTAATGAAGCATCGTCGACCATTCCAATTAAAAGCTTTTCTTGTTGTTTACAACATTTTACAAGTGTTGGCTTGTCTCTACTTTTTGATCAATGTCTTTCGCACTGGTTTCAAATGGAACTATCTTTGGACATGTCATATGACGGGCTATGAGAATCTTAATCATGTTAAGCTTCTCTACTTCACTTACATTCTTAAGGGTACCGAGTTAATTGAAACAATTCTTTTTATTTTGCGAAAAAAGTTTGGACAAATGTCTTTTCTACACATTTACCATCACGTATCGACATTTGTTTTTGCTTATATCGGCGTGACAAGAGTTGGAAGTAAGTAGACAAAAGACTGAAAGATATTAAGAGTGACAATCAATCTAATCTTAATTCTCGTTATCAATCTAAAGATGGAATGCTTTTGACACCGTACACACTCAATATGATTGTTCATGCTGTCATGTATTCGTATTATCTTGCATCGATATTCATTAGTGACTTCGACAAGATCATTAGCGTTAAGAAGTCAATCACAATCATGCAAATGGTAAGAAAATTGTCAGCTTTCCTTCCACAATCAATCTTTTTATGCCATCAAAATCACTTTTGTTTTAGGAATTAACTTTGAACTTTACACACGGAAAAGAATTTATGCATAATAATTGAAACTTTTCAACTCTCTTTTTTCCTTTCAGGTGCAATTTATACTCATTCTCTTCAATACTGTACGAGCGTATCAAACAGAATGTGGAATCGAAACAATTTTCGTCATCATTTTCATTCCCAATGTTTTGATAATATTTTATGAGTTTTTTAAGTTTTACACGAAAACGTACTCAAAAAGTGGCAAGAAGAAGGCGAAACAAGTTAACAAGAAGAAATCTTATTAAATATTTTAATGACTACGCAATGAGAGATGCAAAATTATCTTTTTTATCTGGAAATCTAATTAAGTTCTCGTTACGAATTTATGTTATTAATAAAACTCAATTAGAAAGCCAATTAACAATAATACAATTTACAGCGTATTTCGAAAGTACTCGCGGATAAATAACCTTCAAAGAATTAAATTCTTTTTGGTTTCCAAGAGGATTTAGGATCAAGGAATCTCAACAAATATTTTTATTCCTTTTTTCTTGAGGGTTTCAAACTCATTAAATGGAAATCAGAGAACATTCACGAACATTAGATATTCTTGTAATCATAAAGATTAAATCAACGAGGGTTGTCATCTAAACGTCATTCGTTTTCATTTCCTCTTCTTTTTTCTCCCCAAGAACCTTTCCACTTCATCCCTCTTTAAATGTTCCAGCAAAATGAAACTTTTCGAGCTTTGCGCAATATAAAACAACAAACAAATAAAAAGAAACTTCAACGTAGAATACATTAGCAGTTTTAAACGAAGCCTGGCATAAAACTTTCGCAATAGTTTCTGCATGTTATTCTTTTTGAACTTTCGTATCACTCTTAAAATAGATAAACGAAAATATTTTATCGTTATGAAAGCTTTAAAGGGTTCATTTCAAAGGACATGATATGAAATACATGCACAAAGGAACCGAACAAGGATCATTTTGAAAGACAAGACTTAATATTAAATGAGATTCCTCCCTTACAATTTATTGTCTGTTGTATATTGATGAGATTTGGAGCAAACAGAAACTACAAAAGACTCCATTGGAAGCAATTTGTGTGGGTAAATATTTAATAGAATAGAAAATATTAATATTACTTCTGTTCATTGCTTTCAGTGGAATGATTGTGACTTTTAAACATTTAAATGCATACAAATACAAAAGGAATCATTTAACTTATTCATCGTGTTTAGAATTTAAAATCAGAAAAGAAATCAAAGAAACTGCAATCGTTTGTGAACTTAAATCGTTCTAAAGTTTTCTATCGGATGAAACGTGAGAAGACAATGAAAATTTTTTTAATAAAGACTTGGCAAATATTTGCTCTTTATTTTTTAATTAAATTCTTTCCCGAACAGATAAAGTTCTGATTTCTTTATTTGCAAAGTATTCTTGAAATGCGAATGCATTTCAAATTGAATGGAAATATTTTCATTATTGCAAATTGATTCTTTAGTATGAATTCTTTAAAAGTCTTCTTGATCATTTATAAAAATAGAATGTGTTCATTGTCATGTTTTCGTCATCGATATCAATAGCCTTTTAACAATCAACAATGAAAGATGAACATAAAATTTACACAACAGCAGTCTAGAGTCTATTTGGATATTAATGGGTAGGTACGTAAGTCAGCTTTTAATCGTTCATGCGACACATTTAATTTTTTCTGCTACGATTTGTTTTCAAGAGATAATTGGATTCAATAAAAGCACAATTTATTTATGGCTTTAGCACATTAAACATTTAAGAATTAAATGATTTCATTTAAAAAGCAGCTGAGTTGTTTTTCTGATACCTAATCAATGCACAACAATAATTCTTTAACTAATTTATCATTGATAACACGATAGCGCATTACTTAAACAAAGAACATTATATTTAGCTTGTACTATCGTTTTTATCGTCTTCTGATTTGATTCGCTTCTCGGTTTTTGCTATAATTTGCAACATAAAAAATTGACTTACAGTGTAATAGCTTAGCAAAGAAGTTTCGCTTTCCAACACAAACCATCGATTCTGCCACCCTTTCATTACATTTGTCCACTTGCTCAAAGTACCTTCAAGCGTTGCCATTATTTCTTACAAACTAGAATTTCTATAATTTTAAAAAAACAATTTCAGTTCACGAAACAAAAAAATATTTAAGACCGATCGGTTTAGGGAGAGTTTAATTTATCTTCACTAAAGTCGCAATATATTGAGAAGATTTAAACTTCAAAATTCCGTTAAATTTAAATTTTCATCAATCTTCATTTCCACCTTACTTAAAATACTGGAAAAATTCTCTTTTATTGGATAGAAAAAATCAATTTATTGTTTGATAAATCTTGTAATCTTTTATTTCAAAATCGTTAACAAAATTCTCTCGCTTCTATAAACTCTATTTTGATGAAATATGAACAATTTTATTGTACATTGTACACTAACGACTAAATAAAATTCATTAAAAATTGCTAAATATGAAAGTGTCACAAAAATATTGATTTTAATCAGAAAAAATATATTTTATTAGAAGTTTGATTGCACTTAAAGTTAAACCTTATTTTCAAGTTCTCAACTTCGCGTTTTATAATTATTACTTTTATTAAATTTCAGCATGAATATTTAATTGAATGAATTGTACATGTCGATTGTATCAAGATTGAAATCTATGTTGTCATTAAGATTTACTGTAGGTATTGGTCCCATGTTGCTGCCTTGACTATCGTCTATTGCATAACTGTAAACATTTTAAATAGTGAGGCAAATTAACAAAAATATGTAAATTTTTAATTATCTCAGCAATAAAAGTAATGACAAATGTAAAATAGTTTAAGAAAACATTTTAAATATTTATTCATCACATAACTGTGATAAATAGACACGAAATTATTTGAAGATAAATTGAGAAATCACAAGAAGGTCAAATTAAATTTATTTAAACTTGAAACTCACCCGCTTTGCACAGAAGGCGTGTCTCTTGATGCATCAGGTGACTGCATAAATGAAACTGGAGTTCCTGCATAGCTGACCATTGAAATATTATTTGCATTTGAGTTGGGAAGAATTGCTCGAATTTCAGATGGAATGTAATCATTCCGAGTGGGCCCCATTGGTGTCGTGTATCGATCGAATGCCTCGCTTTTCGATTTATTTGGAAACAAAATCGTTAATTCATAAAAATCTCGAATGCGATCAGACAACGAACGAGTTGAAAAGTCTTTGGCAGTGAATGGTTGAATATGAAGAACGCATGGACTTCCATCGTTTCCTTCATTCACCCACGCAATTGTTATGCCACCCAATTCACTATCCGAAAATCTCAACAAGAAAGTTCCGCGTGGACATGAAAGCAAATGATCTTCTGCTGTTCGCTTGTGAATAAAACCAACAATTGATCCGTCATTCCATGGTCCACGTAAATGTTCGCGAGTTAATTTCATTGCTGCATAAAACCATTCCCAAAATGTGAATTGACGATCACGAAGTGGCTCTTTGCAGAACTGTGTCCAAGATACTAAATAATCGTCAGTTGGCGGCATTGGAACTTGAGTGTTGAAGATTTTTTCACACAAGAAATGTAAATTTTCAGCTGTTAAATTCCGTCCTGTTGATGCACGAAACTTTATGTTTAAAGTGTCAGCAAGTCGATTCCAAGGCACTTTGTCAGGAACAACAAATGGCGTTCGATTCATTTCAGCAAATGCATTATCCCAAGTGATTGTAGCCCATGATTGAGGCTCTTGAATACCATGAACAATCACGACAATTGGTAACGACAATGCCCAAACACTAAACACTAAATCACCATGACCAATAGCAAAACTCGATTGAAAAAGCAAAGCAAACTTCTCATTCATAACACTTTCTGTTCCCTTCTTTTCCGCACGTTTTATCTTTTTAAGTTGTAAATTACGGAAGCTCACAGACAATTGTTTCGTTGCTTCGTTGTATTCCATGTTGCCGGTACTGTTAAGAATTTCCCCGCATGAATGTTCAGAACATTTGTTGGTTTGTTGCGTCTGTTGTGCTTGAGCTTCAGACACAATCGTCACTTTTACGAGTGGACTGTTCATCTTTATGTTTAATGTATTTCCAATAAGTAAGCGAGCTGTTGAAGCGAATCTGGAATAAATTAAAATGTTTCACTTTAATTACGAAGTTTCTTTACTTGTAACAAATCTGACCTTGTATGAGTTTTCATAACTTGCGGTGGTTGCTTTTCAATGATGAATGATCGTGTGATAAGATGTTCCAACAAATTTGTGCTTCTTGCGACAAGTTCGGGAAGAAAGTCAGGTAAATTCTGCTCATCGACATTCAATTGTTTGCGATATTTTGAGACCATTTTGATTTGCTCTCGTGTGCTCCATAAAACTTCAGCCAAATGTTCACACCAACCTTGAATAGTGTCAAGATTGCAAGCATTGGATGGGACTCCGCCATTACCAGCCAATCCTTGATTCATGCACCATTGATTTAAATATTTATCAACAACACTTTGTTGAACTTTTTCTATCAGTTCTAATGTCCCTTTGAACTTATCAACAAGACCCAAACGCAGCCCAGTGAGTTGATTTAATGATGATTGCAATTTACTTTGCTGTTCCTGTTTCTTTGTCAGGATTTGTTCACGACGTTCAGGAATCTGTCCTTCCATCATCATATCGTATTCTGCATTCTTTTTTGTCACTTCGTGAACTTCACAACAAAACAACTCATATCGTTTCTTCAAATTACGATTTTCAATTTCATTTAAACGAACTTGCGATAAAAGTTCTTCGATTGCTTGAACAATTTGAGTGAAATCACTGTTTTTCGTTGCGTTATGTTCTTGTGGTGAACATAAAATTTGTCTTTCAAACATCAAACAATTTCGAAAGTGAGTGAACAGTTGACTTGGATTATGTGAGAAATGTTGACGAAAGTTCTTAGCAGACTCGATGAGCCGTAACTTTGCTGTGATTAAGTCATCTGATGACATTGCAGCTGCTTTTCTTTCAAGTTCAAGAACAAGATCGTTGAGGAAACGAGCAGCTTCAATTTCATATTGTGGATCACTTTCCATAAATGTTGCAGCAATACTAAACATTTAAGCAATAAAAACAAACTCAAAAGGATTTAAATATTAAGAATAACTTACGGAATTCGCAATTCAAGCCACTCGCTTAAATAATGACGAACTTCCATGGGAAAGTGATTTCCATAACAAAGACGAATCTGTTCCATTACTTCAGGAGTGGATTGCAAAAATTTATTCCATAAGGCCATTTCGAATTATTATCAACGTTTATCAAACTTCACTTATCTAAACGAAATAAAAATGAAGTTTTCTCTTAAAGTGAATAAAAGCAAGAAATTTTTGGAAAAAAGAGCAAGATATATCATGATACTTGTTGAATTATCTGAGTACTTTTGAAACAAAACACAAAAGCTTCTTATCTTGTTCAATGATTATATTACACCACAATAAAATACTAAACAATATTCAGCAATAATGTTTTGAGACTGAAGCAACTTATTAGAACTTTAACGATTGAAACAGCATTAAATTTAATACTTCACACTGAGTGATATTAATCGGTACTAAATAATTGATCCAATTTAATTAGAAATAAAAATTATGACTCACTTACACAACAATCAATAATTAATAATGAAAATAAAATAAAAGCGCGAGTTCAAAGTTAAAGCGCGAAGTAAATTAAATTTTAGTTGAACATGTGTGCATGAAGAAATATTTAAGCATGTGTTTGTTATTTGTTTACATTTGAACATCCATGAATTGAATCTAAATTATTGCACATAACACGACATTCATAAAGATGCTTCTTCAATGCTTTACTTTAACTTTTAAATGATTTTTACGACAATAAATAGCGATTTTAAATCTTACTCTTTTATGTCGTTTCACCAATAACTTTGTATTTAATGATAATTCTTACTTTCGGCGTTTTTGTTTGGACAAACGAGTCATAATATCCTGAAGTTGGCTGCGAACTCAATTTTTCTTTTTCAAAGCTTTTAAATCTTATTCCGTTAAATATTCTTCAATTATGATTTATTCTAAAATTCTTTCTTCTCATACATTCATACTTAGATATTTATTGTTTTAAAAATATAAAAGCGTCCGAAAGTTGTTTTATCGGCAAGATAAACAAAATGTAGCAAACATAAATTAGATAAGACAACAGAATGTAAAATTTTGTTATAGAAAATTTTATTCACTTGTTTGAGGTATCTTCGAAATGAAGGTTCAAGTTCTCTTTATATTTGTCCAATTGATAATTTTAGTAGCTACTGATGACTTATTTTCTTCTATTGAAGACTTAGAAAGATTGTCTTTCAATGAGAAGAAAAATATTAAAGAAATTGAAAAACTAATTTTGAAGTTGGAAGATAAAACTGAAAAGTTAAAAAGGTGAAACATCTGAAAAGAAAAATTTAAATTCTTTTACAATGAGCATGAATTAAATTTATTTTCAGAAAAGTGGAAGTTTATAAATATGAAAATAATTTAATGAAAGAAGATCCTATGAAATATATCGTCAATCCTTTAAATGCCTTTCTATTAATAAAAAGACTTTCTTATGATATTTTTAAAATCGGCAACATGCTGTCTGACATTACACAAGAATTTGTTGACAATTCAAAAGGAATCCGATTGGAATATTCTGATTTTGAAGGTGCCGTTCAAGGTTTGGCACGATTACAAGTCATGTACAGCTTAAACCCAGAAGATTTAGCTCAAGGAATTATTAATGGTGAAAAATATCGCGAAGAATTAACTGCCGAAGACCTTTTGGCACTTGGTGGTGAATTGATGAACATTAAAAATTATTTAATTGCATTACCATATCTGAAATTGGCTGAGGAGAAAAATAAAATCACAAATGAATTACCTGAATTGGTGTTGCTTGAAGCTATGCTTTATAATTACAATCAGACTAAAAAAAATGAAGAAATGGTCGACATCATTGATAAAATTTTAAATTTAGATCCTCGTAGAGACGATCTTAAGGGACAAAAACAGAGACTTGAATTAATTATTAAAGCATCTGAAGGAAAACTAAAAGATCCGAGAGAACAAGCGAGAAACACTGGAATGACTGAATTTTTAATAATGAGAGAAACGTGCAGTGGAAGAGTGAATCGAAGTGCCGAAGTAATCTCCAAACTTCATTGTCGATATGATACTAAAACACCATTTTTAAAGCTAGCACCTTTGAAGCTTGAAGAAGCAAACCTTGATCCATTTATTGCCATCTATCATGATGTTATGTCTGACAATGAAGTCGACTTGTTCATATTAAATTCACGACCGACATTATCGAGAGCGTCTGTGTTTGAGAAAGACGCTTCAGCCAAAGTAATTCAGCATTTATTTTTACAATTTCTACAATGGAATTTTCTTTTATTCGACAGGTTGCAGACATAAGAGTGGCAAAGTTAAGTTGGCAACATGATAACAATGATAAAGTTTTCAAACGTTTGACAGAACGAGTTGGTGATATGAGTGGTTTGAACATGAAAACATCAGAAGCGTGGCAGACACAGAATTATGGAATTGGTGGACATTATGAAGGTGAAAAAAATAATTTTGTAATTTTTATTTATTCCCATTATTTAATAAATAATTTCAATGTTTGTTTATTTGTGATTAAAGCCCATTACGATTTTACAACAAAAGATTCAGCTCCATTCACTGGAGGGCTTGGAAATAGAATAGCGACAGCATTATTTTATGTAAAAAACTAAAATTATTCACTTTATTTCAAATTAAAAAGTTCTTTTTCTTAATCAGTTGTCAGATGTCGAACGTGGTGGTTCTACGGTTTTCCCTTATTTGAGAATAAAAGTTGATCCGAAGAAAGGTTCAGCAGTTTTCTGGTATAATTTAAGCACATCAGGAGAATTAGGTTGGATTCTTATTTGTCAAAAAATATGTTTATGTAATTAAAAAATCTTTACAGAATACTACACAAGACATGCAGCATGTCCAGTGTTGGTAGGAAGCAAATGGGTCGCCAACAAATGGATTCACGAATATGGACAAGAATGGATGAGACCGTGCGAGTTGAAACCTGCACTAACAGATGAAGAATATTATAAAAAGTTCTTTAAGGATTTTAAATTTGCAAAATAAAGTTTGAAAAAATTGGAAATAAAAATTTTATTAGATAATTTTCAATTCCAACAATTTCCTTGGAAAATGTTGCAACATTGATAATGAAGACATCAACGATGTTGTTTCCTTATAATTTTATTACAGAGAGAATTTCTGAAGTTTCACTGATATGAAGTTTCATGAAATGAGATTTTAGTTTCACTGATTTTACAATCGATATCGTTGCATCAAATAAAATTAACATCCAAAGTAATTCAAATTAGTCACGAAGATAAAGTTTATCGCTAACGAGAGTATTTTTCCGTTGCTGTTCTGGAAATATTAAAATATTCATCAGTTAAACTCGATTCAGCTTTCAAGAAAGAATTGAAATCAAAGAAAAGTTTTCAAGTGACATTTGATTCAGTATTGTGACATTAAATTTCATTTATTAAGTTTTTTTGCGGTAGAACAGATATGAAGCTTTCTTATCTTGTTTAAGAATGTTTTGAAAATTGACATGAATGATAACAAAAAATATCTTCAACTAGTTCTCACATTTTATTTATTTCACTTACTTTCTGCCAATTGACTTCAACAGAATGAAAATTCTAAAAGTTTTCTTAATAGTCGCTTCAATCATTTCTATTGTTACATCTGAAGATTTGTTCTCATCAATTGAACAATTAGAAATTCTTTCAAGAAATGAAGATCAATTACTCAAAGATACTGATTGGTTAATAAAAAAATTAGAGCTTTTAATTGAACAAATAAAAATGTGAGTAAATAATTTTGTTTCTTTTCTTAAAGATTCTAATTGAATTTAATGAATTAAATTTTGAAGCAATCAATTAAAGGCACGGCAAGAGCATGAAGAGATGTTGAGAGATTCTTTCACTTACATTTTAAATCCTTTAAATGCTCTGCTTTTGATCAAAAGACTTTCATACAATGTTATTCAAACAGTGAACGCAATCAAGTCAGTAGCTGATCAGTTCTCTCGATACACGGAAGACATCACTTTACCCTATTCAGATTTCGAAGGTGCAGTTCAAGGCTTGGTGCGACTTCAAACGATTTACAGCTTGAATCCCGAAGACTTAGCAAAAGGAATCATCGACGGAAAGAAATATCGCGATGAGTTAAGTGCGAACGATCTTCTTGCACTTGGTGAAGTTTTAACTTACAGAGATTTTGATTTACCGTCAGTTTCTTTAAATTACTTGAACTTAGCATTGACAAGAAATCAAGAAACGAACGAAATTTCTGACCTTGTGATACTCGAACAACTTTATAGCAATTACAAAAGTGCTGGTAACACAACAGAACTTGTGAAAATTATTGATAAGATTTTGGAAATTGCACCTGAACGAGAATATTTGGAACTAGAAAGAATTGATCTTGAACTTTCTTTAATTTTTGGCGATAAAACAAAAGATATTGATGAGAAGGAATCACCACCACCACCACCACCACCACCACCAGCAGGTTTCAATAAAAATAAGGAATTAAAATATATTATTGCAGCATGTACGGGAACTGCAAAACGAACAGATAAAGAACTTTCTCAAGTTCGTTGTCGTTATGTTTCTAAATCTCCATTCTCAAAGATTGCGCCATTTAAAGTCGAAGAAGCAAGTCTGGATCCATACATTGTGGTTTTTTATGACGTCATATCTAATGATGAAATTGAAATCTTCAAGTCAACAGCTAAGGAAGGGTTGAAGCGAGCCAGTGTACTTAACCCAGATTCAACATCAAGAATTGATGATGTACGAGTTGCTAAATTACATTGGCAAGCAGACACACAAGGTGGAGTATTTGAACGCGTTTCTAAGAGAGTCGGTGACATGACTGGGTTGAACATGAAAACAGCTGAAATATGGCAGACACAAAACTATGGCATTGGTGGTCATTACGGTGGTAAATTTTATAAAACATAACAGCTTTCTTGTCTTGTACGCTTTCTTAATAAAAATCTTTCAATTATCAAGCCCATTATGACTTCACAACACCAGACGCAGCTCCATTTCATCTCGGAACTGGAAATAGAATTGCAACGACACTTTTTTATGTAAATATTTTTCATCGTAAGAATCGAGAACGTTAAAAAAATATTTTTCATTAGTTGTCTGATGTTGAAAAAGGAGGCGCAACAATTTTTCCATACTTGAGAATAAAAGTTGATCCGAGGAAAGGTTCGGCACTTTTCTGGTATAATTTAAGTACATCAGGCGATGTAGGTAAGTTATGAGATGAAATTTATTAAATATTTTATTTAAATTAAATATGCTAAATGTGTTAAAGAATACTACACAAGACATGCGGCATGTCCAGTGTTGGTAGGAAGCAAATGGGTAGCCAACAAATGGATTCACGAATATGAACAAGAATGGACGAGACCGTGCGAATTGAAACCTGCACCAACAGACGCAAATTATTATAAAAAGTTCCAATGATGATTCTAATTTCATGTTACAAAACGTGTTTGACTTGTTTTCGTGCATTCTATTTAGAATTTGCAGTGGAAAGTTTCGGAATTTCGATTTCATTTCCTTTCAGTCTGTTGCGTTGTTGAATATCAGTCGAAATAAATTTCACTTTTAAATATGAAATTTGTATTAATTTTTACTTTGGCGACTTCTTCACTTGTTTCCATTGTTACATCTGAAGATTTAATCTCGTCGATAGAGAAATTGGAATGTCTTTCGAAGAATGAAGATTTATTAATTAAAAATATCGATTGGTTAATAATGAAAATGGAATTTGCCATCGACCAAATTAAAAGGTAATGAAACAAGATGTATCTGCAGCGTTTAAAGCTTTCGTTAATGAGCGTTGTTAAGCGATGATGTCATAATAAAAAGCTTAAAATTTGAACAATTAAACGAAATTATTTTTATTCCAACAGAAACCAGGAGAAGGCCAAAGAAGAATTGACAGAAATGAGACGAGACAGCTACGATTACATCTTGAATCCTTTGAACGCAATACTTCTAATCAAAAGACTTTCATTTGACTTTTTATTAACAGTCGAGTTGATCAAATCAATAGCTGATCAGTTTGCTAAAAATGCAGAGAACATCACTTTACCGTACTCAGAGTTCGAAGAAGCAATGCGAGGTTTGGTGCGACTTCAAAACATTTATAAATTGAATCCTGAAGACTTAGCAAAAGGGATCATCGATGGAAAGAAATATCGCGATGAATTAAGTGCGAACGATCTTCTTGCGTTTGGTGAAGTTATGAATCACAAAGAGTTTGATTTGCCGTCAATATCTTTGGATTACTTAAACTTGGCATTGACAAAGAATCAAATGACGAAAGAAGTTTCTGATCTTGTCATACTCGAACAACTTTACAGCAATTATAAAAGCATTGGAAACACCACAGAACTTGTGAGAATTATCAACAGGATTTTGGAAATTGCACCTGAACGAGACTATCTGAAACTAGAAAGAATTAATCTTGAACTTTCTTTACTTCTGAATGACAAACCAAAAGATGTTGTTGAGAACACATCCCCACCACCACTACCACCAGGAAGTTTCAATGAAGCAAAGGAAAACGAACTCATCAGTGCAGTATGTACGGGAACTGCAAAACGAACAGATAAAGAACTTTCTCAAGTCCATTGTCGTTATGTTTCCAAATCTCCATTCTCAAAGATTGCGCCATTTAAAGTCGAAGAAGCAAGTCTGGATCCATACATTGTGGTTTTTTATGACGTCATATCTAATGATGAAATTGAAATCTTCAAGTCAACAGCTAAGGAAGGGTTGAAGCGAGCCAGTGTACTTAACCCAGATTCAACATCAAGAATTGATGATGTACGAGTTGCTAAATTACATTGGCAAGCAGACACACAAGGTGGAGTATTTGAACGCGTTTCTAAGAGAGTCGGTGACATGACTGGGTTGAACATGAAAACAGCTGAAATATGGCAGACACAAAACTATGGCATTGGTGGTCATTACGGTGGTAAATTTTATAAAACATAACAGCTTTCTTGTCTTGTACGCTTTCTTAATAAATATTTCAATTATCAAGCCCATTATGACTTCACAACACCAGACGCAGCTCCATTTCATCTCGGAACTGGAAATAGAATTGCAACGACACTTTTTTACGTAAATATTTTTCATCGTGAGAATCGAAAATGATAAAGAAATATTCTTTCATTAGTTGTCTGATGTTGAAAAAGGAGGCGCAACAATTTTTCCATACTTGAGAATAAAAGTTGATCCGAGGAAAGGTTCGGCACTATTCTGGTATAATTTAAGTACATCAGGCGATGTAGGTAAGTTATGAGATGAAATTAGGGTAAATGACAAAATTCGCAATAACTCAAAAACTTAGATTCGCAACAATATAATCGAATTTAATTTTCCTAAAAAACTTAAAAGAACATCAAAGTTGGTATTTATGGGAAAAAATATTTACTTAATTGTAGAAATTAGTGTTGTGAGTTTAGACACAATTTGGCAAGGGGCTATTCATCGGAAAAATGATGGACAGCCCCTTGCAATGCGAGGTGTAACGAATTTGATCATTTTCCTATTCATCAAACATTTTGTTTAAATTATTTTTAATTTATTACAGAATACTACACACGACATGTAGCATGTCCAGTGTTGGTAGGAAGCAAATGGGTAGCCAACAAATGGATTCACGAATATGAACAAGAATGGACGAGACCGTGCGAATTGAAACCTGCACCAACAGATGCATATTATTTTAGACATTTCTATTGATAATAATTTCATGTTACAAAACGTGTTTGACTTGTTTTCGTGCATTCAATTTAGAATTTGCAGTGAAAAGTTCAAGAATTTCGATTTCATTTCCTTTCAGTCTGTTGCGTTGTTGAATATCAGTTGAAATAAATTTCACTTTTAAATATGAAATTTGTATTAATTTTTGCTTTGGCGACTTCTTCACTTGTTTCCATTGTTACATCTGAAGATTTAATCTCGTCGATAGATAGATTGGAATGTCTTTCGAAGAATGAAGATTTATTAATTAAAAATATCGATTGGTTAATAATGAAAATGGAATTTGCCATCGACCAAATTAAAAGGTAATGAAACAAGATGAATCTGCAGCGTTTAAAGCTTTCGTTAATGAGCGTTGTTAAGCGATGATGTCATAATAAAAAGCTTAAAATTTGAACAATTAAACGAAATTATTTTTATTCCAACAGAAACCAGGAGAAGGCCAAAGAAGAATTGACAGAAATGAGACGAGACAGCTACGATTACATCTTGAATCCTTTGAACGCAATACTTCTAATCAAAAGACTTTCATTTGACTTTTTATTAACAGTCGAGTTGATCAAATCAATAGCTGATCAGTTTGCTAAAAATGCAGAGAACATCACTTTACCGTACTCAGAGTTCGAGGGTGCAATGCGAGGTTTGGTGCGACTTCAAAATATTTATAAATTGAATCCTGAAGACTTAGCAAACGGAATCATTGATGGAAAGAAATATCGCGATGAGTTAAGTGCGAACGATCTTCTTGCATTTGGTGAAGTGATGAATCACAAAGAGTTTGATTTGCCGTCAATATCTTTGGATTACTTAAACTTGGCATTGACAAAGAATCAAATGACGAAAGAAGTTTCTGATCTTGTCATACTCGAACAACTTTACAGCAATTATAAAAGCATTGGAAACACCACAGAACTTGTGAGAATTATCAACAGGATTTTGGAAATTGCACCTGAACGAGACTATCTGAAACTAGAAAGAATTAATCTTGAACTTTCTTTACTTCTGAATGACAAACCAAAAGATGTTGTTGAGAACACATCCCCACCACCACTACCACCAGGAAGTTTCAATGAAGCAAAGGAAAACGAACTCATCAGTGCAGTATGTACGGGAACTGCAAAACGAACAGATAAAGAACTTTCTCAAGTCCATTGTCGTTATGTTTCCAAATCTCCATTCTCAAAGATTGCGCCATTTAAAGTCGAAGAAGCAAGTCTGGATCCATACATTGTGATGTTCTATGACGTCATATCTGATGATGAAATTGAAATCTTCAAGTCAACAGCTAAGGAAAGGTTGGAACAAGCCTCAGTTTTCAATGCAGATGGTTCGCTTAGAGTTGACAGTATTTCAAAATTCGCGGTAATGGCAAGAATGGATGATTCAGAGCATGAAGTGTTCAAACGTCTCATAAAAAGACACGCTGACATGACTGGGTTAAATATGAAGAGCGCCGAAAAGTGGAAAGTTCAAAACTATGGACTTGGTGGACATCACATTCGTAACTTAAATAATCAGAACTGAATTCGTGTCATAATAATTAATTGTTCATTAAAATTTTAGCACATTACGATTTTGTAAAAAGAGGAGAAGTTGTTCCCTTTGATAATGGAAATCGGATTTCAACAATGCTTTTCTATGTAAGCCAATAATGCGATAATTGGTGTTGCATTACAAATCTGCTCTTCATCTTGATTTTAGTTATCTGATGTTGAAAAAGGAGGTTCCACGGTTTTCCCTTATTTGAGAATTAAAGTTGATCCCAGGAAAGGTTCGTCACTTTTCTGGTTTAACATGAACACTTCGGGAGAAGAAGGTGAATATTCATTCAAATAATATTCGATTCATGTTTTATGTATTTAATTATCCTTTTAGATTACTTCACGCGTCACGCAGCATGTCCCGTCATGATAGGAAGCAAATGGGTTGCCACTAAAATGACTCAAGAGCATGGACACGAGTTTATAAGGCCATGTGGACTTAAGCACGTCAAAACTGATGAAAAAGATTTGTTTGTAGATTTTTAGAACTTTTAATCCTTCTTTATTAAGTTCAACCATGACGAACCGAATAACAGATAATTATTAAGTTTATTAAGATAGAACCACGAGAGGAGTGTGACTAATCAATTCTTTTAACAGATTAGCTGAAATAGAGGAAATAAAAGAAAATCGCACAAAAACCACAAACGACTCTAAATTAATTTTCTTCCTGTAAATTCAAACATTAAAAATTTTAACTCAGTTTTTAATTTTTGTAATTTATAGAATTGATTTATTTGAATAATTTTTAAAAATCAAAATGTTACTAAGAATCTAAGAACTAAAATCAGTTGTTTCTCTTATAATTGATGATCTAATTAAAAATTACGAACTTTTCGAACGTTTTGTTCCTTGGATTTGTTTAATCTTACGTCACAATGTTTGTGATAATTAAAAAATGATTTTGAAATGTTTTATAGATAAATTAGCAGATATTCGAATTGCAGAAAATTAAAACAAAACGAAACGCTGTGTAACGATCATTTTTGGATATTTTTCTAACGCGAATATCATAATTTAAGCACACAGTTTAATTATTAAAAAAGGAGGAAAATCTTTTTCACAAAACAATATTAAATAAACTGAAAAGAAGTTTTCTGAAATTCTTACCTCTCATCATCCAAAACTTACATTTTTACTGCTTGAAATGAAACGAAATGCTGTGAAATGGCTTGAAATGTCGTATTTCTAATTAATCTCTCTTTCTTGAATTCCTCAAGAAGTCACAAAAGTTGCAATTTTAGACAACACAATCAATCATGATTTAACTCTTATATCTGTCCAACCATTTCTGATATCTGTACCACCAATCTTCCCACTTTTTATAATCGTCCAATGTTAAATCGCGCAAATATCCTTTACTTTTATAATATTCATACCGAACGCGAACGTTATACCAGTTCAAGCCTAAAGCTTTAGCTGATATGTAATTGAGTACTGATTCCGATTCCGGGTACCGTCCTTCTAATTCGTGTTCATATCGCGATGGTGGTGGACTTGCTGAATGTTGTGGATCTTGATAAATAAACGCGGAACGATCGCCACTTGTTTCTTTTGTTATTTTTAAAACGATTCTATCGTTATTTGTTCGATCATTGTTCCATTCAGCCATTTTACCGAAACGATCAGAAAGAGTCATGCAAGTTGTTGCTGTTAAAGATGGAATTTGTAGATCGCTGCTTGATGATGATTCTGATGAAGCTTGTCGCTTGCTTCTTTGTCCTTCGACTTTCAACTTTCGCCATGGATGATTTTTACGAACTTTCTTTAAACCACGAGAAACTTGAGCTCCTAAAACATGATTTGCCATTCCAGATGCACTTCGGCGACGACGTGAACTGTGTTGCTTCGGTGTGGCTACTTTTTTCGGAGTTTTCTGCTTTGATGCTCCAAGTGCTGGACTCTTAGGACGCATGCGATTCATTGGACCATGATAACGTTCAGCTTTCTTCGCTTCATCACCTCCACGACGATTGTCATCTGATGAACAAACTGAACATGAATCTTCCGAGCAACTTGAAACTGAAGGAGTCCGCGCAGCCTATTGACAAATAAAACATTTTGAAATATAAAGAAATACATAAATGATTGAAATGAATTACCTTTTGAGGCGGTGGAGTTGGACGACAAACACCTGCACGATATTTATCATCGTTTCGATATTTTTCATCACGTTTTGGCATATCACGAGCGTGACGTACTGGAGATCTTTGCTTGTATCTCTCAGGGGTTCTCGACACTCGCCGGCGAGGTGGAGAATGCGTGTTATGTCGACCACGAGGTGACTCAGGTGTTTTACGAATTGGCGAACGACTTCGTGACCTGCGAGATCCATGAACGTACATCTTTTTATAGCCAGTGTGCTTCCAACGATTTGGATCTTTTTCTTCAACTTCAAGCAACTTTTTGTCCCAATATTCATTTGTTGGCTGTTGTCGAGCTTTCTTCATAACGTTGTCAAGTTCCTTGCGCTTTCCCGCAGGATGCGATGGATCTGATGAAGTTTTAATTCTAAATAAAAAATCTTCTTAAGTTACAAATTATTGAAAAACTCACCAGAAATTCTTGTTGCGTTTGGCTTTCGATCCATACGCATATTACTTCTTACTCGTTCGCTTTCATAATGAGGACTTCGACTTCTTCTTCGTTTAGAAGACATTCTATCGAGATGTTACTTTTTTTCACAAATTTCTTTTAAATCTTATTCTGCTTCTATCGTTTCACACTGTAATCGAAATGTTAGTTCAGCATTATTTTAATTGTCGTATACTAAAAAAGAGGGTCAATTAACAACATGTTGAAAATAAAACTTTTTTCCCGAATCAATTAAGCCCTTGATTTTTCACGAAATTTTCCACGGCCGTACGAAAATATCTCGCGAGCGAACTTGAAAACCGATACAGAAATAATATCCCGAATATTTCTTATACTATCCGTAAAAAGCGTCAACGAAATGTCATAATTTTTCGCGTTACATTCTCACTTTGGATTTGCGATCCATTTTCAAGTTCATTTTATTTTTTATAGTTTATCCACATAATGGTGAAAGTTCATCAACCTACACAATAATTGTTAATAATATAAGGACTTAATCTTATTATATAAATGTTTTCATCACAATCATCGCGAAACAAGTTTCGTCAACATATTTTTTATACTCAATTTAACCGAATTAAACGCGATTAAAAGCAATTTTTTTACCGGAATCAATTGCAATGGCGAACTTTCACTACCGAATCCGAAAAATCACGAGAGCTTGGTTTTCGTAGAATAAATTACTGAATTTCACAAATTCAATTTCTATGAATTGCAATGTTATGTTTTTTAAAAAGTTTCCAGGTTTTTTATACCTTAAATTATAACTTTTATATTTTCAACCCAACAAATAAGAGAGAAAAACTTCTGAGGAGACTTAAAGTTTTAGAGGGGTTAGGCAAGCCTGAAATGAAACGAAACGAAATAACTTATGAGCAGACTCTCACTTGCTATTCCAGCAAATAAGAGAAAAACTTCTGAGGAGACTTAAAGTTTCAGAGGGGTTATGCAAACATGAACTGAAACGAAATGAAATAACTTATGAACAGTCTTTTACGCTTGTCAACTTGATTTTAATTTGTATTTCATAAACGTAAATTAAAGTGAAAATACAATGAATCTTGGACCGAAAAAGGATGGAAGTCCTAATATTGACTTTTTTCAATCACCGGAATCACTTCAAGGGTTTGAAACTGTTCGATTATGGCTACAAAAACATCATAAAAAAGTATGTGAAAATCATTGAAAATGGACTCCATCATTGTTGTTGATGTTGTTCTATATAAAAGTTAATTTTATCCAATAAATTCTAATTTCTAGAATCTTCAAACTGATCCTCCTTCAAAGGAAAGCTTAGCCCAGCTTATAATACAATTGATTCAATACCAAGAAACGAAATTGGGAAAGAATGCGCCAGATTCGACTATGGCCACACGGCTTCCGGTAAACTTAAAAAAATTAATTGAAATCGAAATTTCTTTCTTATTTTTATTCAAACCATTTTAGATGCGTTTTTTTAGAGATTTTAAAGCAGGTGGGGCATTGTGCGTAATATTTGCTACAATGTACCGCTTCAAAAGTGAACAACGTTGGAAGAAATTTGACTTCACTGTGAACAAGGTAAATGAGCAATTAATCTCTTTCCTAATGTTTATTAAATTAATTTCCTTATTCATAGACAACATCAAAAAAAGATCCAAACATTCAAATGCTTCTCGAAATCGAATCTTGTCTAATGGATGCTGAAATTTTCCGACTTCCAGCAATTTTCATTCGACCGGAAGTTGAACGACCATTGGCATCAAAAATTCGGGATATTATTCATAATCATCAAGCAGATATAACTGAAGATGAGCAAGATGCAACGCATATTATCTATCCAGATGTGGATCCTTTGCCTGAGGAATATGCTCGTCCAACTTTTAAGCGTGACAAGAATGTGTTATTGCATTGGTATTACTTTCCTGAATCATACGATTCCTGGGTGCCGAACAACTTCGATCTCCCAGAAAATGTTCCCGAATACCCTCCACCTTCACCTGCTGAAGAGCGTTGGCGTGTTTCAGCGCAATGGATTCGAGATTTGGACACTTACAATGAATGGATGTCTGAGGAGGATTACGAAGTTGACGAGCAAGGTCGCAAGAAGATTCATAAATTACGCTTATCTGTTGAAGATCTGATGTCAGCTGGAGACAGCGATAAAAGTAAGAAACAAATCGGTGGCAAAGGCAAAAAACGTGGACGTTCACCATCACCGAAAGGAGCGAAGAGAAAGTCTGGACGTTCTCCAGCTGTTTTCCAACAAAAGAAAACTCGTCCAGATGATGATGAATCGGAAGATTTAACTAAAGATATGGACGATCCACCAGCTGAACCAAACATTCAGGAAGTGAAGCCAAGTGCAAGTTCATCAGCTTCAGGTCCAGCAACACCAACAACGAAGCGTGATCCTGACATGGCACCATTGAAAGGCGGAATTGTTCAAGATCTCGACGAAGATATGGAACGAGGTGAAGATTCTCAAACAGGAAAGGCGAGCGAGAATAGTAACACACAAGATTTCGCCAATAAAGAAGACGTTGAAGACAACAATGTCACTGAACAAACGCATCACATCATCATTCCATCATATTCTGCTTGGTTTGATTACAACTCGGTGCATATTGTTGAGAAACGCGCACTTCCTGAATTCTTCAACAGTAAAAATAAATCGAAGACACCTGAAATTTATTTGGCTTATCGTAACTTCATGATTGACACTTATCGGTTGAATCCAACGGAATATTTAACAAGCACAGCATGCAGACGAAACTTAGCTGGTGATGTTTGTGCTATAATGAGAGTTCATGCATTTTTGGAGCAGTGGGGATTGATAAACTATCAGATTGATGCTGAATCACGACCAACACCGATGGGCCCACCACCGACATCGCATTTCCATATTCTCAGCGACACTCCTTGCGGTTTACAACCAATAAATCCTCAAAAAGTTCCACAACCTTTAGCAGCGTCAAAAGCACTTTTAGATTTGGACAAGAAAGCAAATAATCCTGACAAAAAAGATTCCAACGATCCAAACGCACCTCCAAATGTTGTCAAACAAGAACCAGGAAGTGAAATTTTACCAGGAGCTCAATTTGGCTTGAGACTTGATCAATATGCGAAGAAGCCAGCAGCATTAAGAAACAAAACTGCTGCAAGTATGACACGAGAATGGACGGATCAGGAAACGTTGCTGCTTCTGGAAGGTCTTGAAATGTATAAAGATGATTGGAACAAAGTTTGTGAACATGTCGGGTCACGAACGCAAGACGAATGCATTTTACATTTCTTAAGATTACCGATTGAAGATCCATATTTGGAAGACGACAACACATTCTTAGGGCCGTTAAGTTACCAGCCGATTCCATTCAGTAAAGCTGGTAATCCAATAATGTCAACAGTTGCGTTCTTAGCTTCAGTTGTTGATCCGAGAATCGCTGCAAATGCAGCAAAAGCAGCTATGGAAGAATTTGCAGCAATCAAAGATGAAGTTCCAGCTGCGATGCTTGATCAACATTTAAAGAATGTTGAGAAGACGAATTTCGGTGGAAAGTTTGATCCTTTTGCTGGTTTGACGACGAGTGGAATTGCTGGCACAGCTCTTGAAAAAGAAAAGGACGAGACAAGTGAAAATGAGAAGGAAAAGACGTCTGCAACGGAAGACGTTGAAATGAAAGATGCTACAAAGAAAGAACCCGGTGAGTTGACGTTTGATGATTTTTCATTGTCGCTTTTATCATTTTTCATCCTTCGCTAATTTATTTTCATTTTTTTGCTTCCTTTTTTTACATTTTGTTGTGTTTGTGTCTCTTTTTGCATTACTTTATTTTGCATATTTTATTCATGTCCGTTCATTCAGAAGAAGAAACGCCACAAACTGAAACTGATGAAAATAAAAAATCTGATTCTGAAACAGCTGAAAAGGAGAATGCAGAGAAGGTAACAGAAGGAGGAAGTGTGACGGCAGCACCAGCGTCAGAAGGGAGTGAGAAGAAAGCGAATGAAGAGAAGACTAATGAGGGAGTTTGTGAAGAGAAAGAAGGCGGCGTTGAGTCGAGGAAAATCTTTAACGAAGGAAATTTGCAGTCTGCTGCTGCTGCTGCATTAGCCGCTGCTGCTGTCAAAGCGAAACATCTTGCAGCTGTTGAAGAACGTAAGATAAAGAGTCTCGTTGCCCTTCTCGTGGAAACTCAAATGAAGAAGCTCGAGATAAAGTTGAGACATTTCGAAGAACTTGAAACGACGATGGAACGTGAGCGTGAAGGTTTAGAATATCAACGTCAGCAGTTAATTCAAGAACGTCAGCAATTTCATCTCGAACAGTTAAAAGCAGCAGAATTTAGAGCACGACAGCAAGCACATCAAAGATTCCAGCAAGAACATGGCGGCGGTCCCGGGCCATGGCAAAATCATCCAACACCTCAACCAAACATGGCGAATGTTCCTCCAAGTATTCCTCCTGGTCAAATTTCTCACGGTCCAATCATGCAAGGACAGAATCCGCCACCAGTTCAGCAAGCGCCAGTTCCTCATCCTGTCGCTAACGCTGCTGTTGATCAACAAATTCCACCACAACATCATCAAATGGCACCACAACAACCATCAACGAATCCATTACCGCCAACAACTGTCCCAACTTAATCATTTTTTAGTATCGAAAATTATTTAATTTAAACATTTTTTCATTCATCCAATTTAAGGATAAAATAATGATTTATAATTGCTAATTAGGATGACATAAGTAAAATATTTCTCTATGATAATTGAATCTAATTTGAATACATTATGCTACAAAATTGACATATAAATTTATATTTAAGATCTTATTTGTCTAGGTAAACTATTATTAAGGAAATTAGAATAGAAATTAGATTGTCTTTCATGTTTCAATCGAAATGAAAAGGAGAAAATTTTAAAATTGCAACATTAGTAGCGTCAATAGATGATAAAGCTTTTACCTGTAAGTTCTCTAATTAAATGTAATTTCCTTCCACGTCTTAATTTTTATTGAATTTTTTGATTAACAATACAGCGAAATTGGATTACGTGAAACTTTCTCGTGGTGAGAAAAACTTTTTTTTTCCTTTTCCTGATGAAAGTTTGTAATTTAAATTTCTTTTTACCTGGTCGATGAATAAAAAAAATTGAGAGTTAAGAAAAATCTTGCTTCGTGTTTATTTACTGCAGCGTAAACTGTTCCAACTTGTTGGTTTTCTAGAAAATTAAAACTTTAGAGATTAAAATAGTTCAGAATCTTGGGATTTCCTGTGTTTTCTGTGTAGGTGGGATAAGCAAAGTAAGTTTTCATGAAACTCTTTTAACAGTTTCCAACAAGAGAATTCACAAAGCTACTCCATAAAAAAGTTCAAAATTTCAGGAAAATCTTTTCATTTGATATTTAAAAAACTTTTGCGAATATTTTCTTCAAATTTCTGAGAATTTTAGGAAAATCATGTGAAAAATTTGCCGCCAATATTTCCTGGAAATTATTTTTAAACAAGGAAAATTTGATCAAAAATAATTGAGTTAAATGAAGACTTTTCAAGTAGAAACAGAAATTTCTGAAAGAAAAAGAAAAACCAAGGAAACTCTTTTAATTATGTTTTCATGATTTTTTCAAATATATTTTCATCATTCACTTTTTTCATCATCTTCTTTGATTTTTTTAAATAATTCTCTTTTATCATCACTTAAATACATAGTTAATTAAACAATTTCCTTTCATCAAAAACCGTAAATACAAATTGTTTATGCTTTCGTGTCTACCTTAGCAGCGCTTGTCGTCTTTCAATTGCAATCATCAGCACTCAACATTTCTGTTTCATTTTAATGAATATTATTATGTCGGTAGATACATCATTAAATTCCAAATGCATGAGCGGTTGGATCATTAAAAAATTAAATCTAACTTCAATTTAGTTTGCTTTCCATTACCTAGTTTTGTCATTTCCCTTAATCATCGAATCAATCTGTGATTGTTGAATAATAATTACGCAAATTCTCGTATCGACTGTTGCAGACTCAACCTCATCGTTATTCGGATGTATGATCATGACTTCATAATATCAATTTAATTGTGAGCTTTTGCGATTTTAAAGTTTCAGTTCGTCTCTTTGTTTTTATCATGATTCATGAAGCAAACCGTAAATCTTCGCTTCGGGTATTGTCAGCCGAGCAATTATTTATGAAGGAAAATAAATGAATTTTATTTATCTAATCGCTTTTCGATTTCTGATATTTTGTCGCACATTACAATTTATGTGATATTGTTCATGATGTGGCTAATTGGAAATGGAAAATTCATACAAGTTAAAACTTTATTTTCATTTCATTTAATCCAGGAAATCACAAAATTAGTTTTTACTTTTTTATGTTTGCTTTTCACTCGCTTCTGATATTGGAGAAAATTTACTCAGTTCGTTCGATTGATTTTATTTGACTCTCAAATGCTGCACATGAATCGTTCGAGAAAAAAACAGAAAATTGACGAGAATCAGAATTTCAGATTGGATTGAAAAATTCATTTATTTATTTATTATTTATTTGTTTGCTTCATTCTACAGAGATTAATATCGATGGTGGTTCTTGTACACGTAACCTGTAAATTTAATTTGTGATTCATCAAACATTATTCGCTGTGATTTAATTTTTTAAGTCATGTTAGTTCCGCCATTTCATTGTCATAAAAAGTATTTTATACAAAGCATCTGCCCATTACACGTGAATGTAACTGTTTGAAAAAGAAAATCTCATGAAATCTCGTCATTTATAACGAAAATTGTCACAAATAAATGCTGTCAGGTCAGAATAGTGAAAAAAACGAAACACCACGTGAAATCCATTAAAAAAATTTCGGAAACTTTTCCACTTCAGCAAGATGGAATGAAAATACATTTTTCCAGTTGTTCGTCAGTTGATAGAGCTTTGAGAGTATGCAAACAGAGTGTTCACTGTTTATCTAAAGCTTAACTTTAACTCACTGTTTGCTACGGAATAAAATGGCTCAATTATTTATTTGAAAAGGTCGAACTTCTCTTCATCTCTTTCACACGCAATGTGTGCCTCATGATTTTGCTTCCCATTAATCGAAATCAGACACGAACAATTAGAATAATCCTTAAATAGGCAATTAAAATTCCCATTAATGTAGCAAGGAAAAAGGATCTCATTTTGGCTTCACAATTCGGATGAGTTTCCACTTTTTTTTTTGGGTAATCATTGGTCATTAATTCATTGGCTAAATATTTACATTTAATTAAAATTGCCCTATAAAACTTTAACAAATAAATTTCCGATTTATAATCTTTTATATTTCAAGATAAGATTTTATTTAGATACTTAATTATGATTTTTATATTTATTTTCAGTCTGTTTCTTCGTGTTATGAAAGTCAAAGATTTTTTATTAAACAAAAAATGGTCGAGAAAATTTCTCATGTCATCATATATTTTATTTATTTACAATTATGTGATCATTAAATGATATTTATATTCATCAGACATGATAAATCATCCACCAACTTTTTGATTAACGACAAATCTTTGTAAACAATTTTTTTTTACAAATTATTAAAGAGAAACAAAAAAGTTTTTTTGAACATTTAATTTAAGAACATTAATTAACATATCTACTTAGTAATGTCGACCGTCATATGCTGACGCATCGGAAACTGATAACTAGAGATCGCTCATCGCAGCAGCTGGCACCTGATGGGAGTGACACGACTTCTGCTGATGACTATGTCCCATTGGGCTGTTATTGTTCTGTGCCCTGCTGAGTGTTTGCGATCGGATATGATTGCCTACAGCTTGCTTGGTTGTTTGTGTCTCTGCGAAATGGAATTTAATGTTATCACAGTTGATTGTCGAAGAAAACTACGAATTCAAGATACAAAAGAGCGAAGAGAAAAAAAATACAGGAAAAAAATTCCGACATTAACATTTTATTGACAGTTAGAGTTGTGGGTATTTCATTACTACAAACACATTAATTTCCCTCACTTCCTCTCCCGTCGAAGGAATTACATGAATCAAACCGTGGCAGGAGGTCAATTCAGACGGATTAATTTATACACACACGAACTCATATCTTTATCAGAGATCTAACACCGTTATTATAGCACTACGGGGGCGTTTTGATAGGAGGGGAGGGAAGAGGTGAGAAAAAGTTATTTATCATGTAACGATGTGAGACCATTTGCAGGTGGACGAGAATAATTTTTGTGAGGGCATAATGGTCAGATGTTTACTGTAATTTATAAGCTTCAGTTGACAAATGAGAAAGTAAATAAGGTTGGAATCAAAAAGCTTTTTCACGATCATTAAAAACATTACTTTACCACGTTCGAAGGGCTAACGAGGTGAATTGCAAGATTCGACACCAACTTATCTCGCTCATTTAGACAGAAATTGAATGAAATGGAGTTGGGTAATTAAATTAAATGTAAAATCTAACACCGACCATTACTTTTTTCCCTTTTTTATCTCTTTTTCTTTTCCATCTTCTACCGCGACCGACATTTATATTGCAGAAAAATCAGTAACGTGTATGTGTGTGTGTTTGGCATCAAGGTTCATTAATTACCTGCTGAATTATTTAAATTGGTGTTACGAGGAAGAGTTCCTATCGTCAAACATTCATTACGTCCGTAACTCATTGGAATGTGAACATTTTGTTTAGGCAATGTCATTGTGTTGTTGAATGATGTTTCACTTCGTCCAAATGTCTGTTGTTGCTGCTGCTGCTGCTGTTGTTGAAGCTGTGGCTGTTGAGGTTGGTTCTTGATAGGAATTGTTACATGTTCAGAACGAGGTTTGTAATTTGTGTTATTAACCATTGGCACCTTTGTCGATTGTGCTGGTGAATTATTCTTCATAACACTGATTTGCATGGCATTTGAGCATATGTGTTGTGACTTCTCGATAAGCGCACCGGTATCATGATTCTCAACATCTACAATAACATTTGCTGGTTGTCCTAAATGATAATGTGCGTGCTTAATCGAATCAAATGATTGCTGATGGCCACTTCGTTGTTGATACTGCTTTTGAAGAGTTTTAACTTCAAGCCTCGTTTTATCGCGTTGATAATAAACGCCAGCAAATATTAAAACATTGAGAATGAGTAAACTACATCCGATTGCTATCGTCACGCTCAATGCAGTGGAATAAGCAGTGTAGCCTTCAAAACCAGAAGGATCACTGCCGTTTGAAGCGGCTGTTGGAGCGAATCCACTTAAATTGCTAATAGGGAGACATGTTGTGAGAGAAGATGGTTCCATTGTTGTAACTCCTACATGATAATGAAGACAAACAAGATTAGAGAAAATTGAGAAGAATAAAAATTTGTTTTATTATTCGATTACAATTTTATAAGCAAAAGAAAAACAAACCATTAAATTCGTTCGAAATGTTATTCCGTCGTTTGTAGTTCTCGTCAAACACAGGAAATCGTGTGAACAAATCCGGTCTGACATGACCATCGTATAAGCTCATATCGTCGTGATTTTTGAATAAATTATGACGAGCTAACACGTCTTCCATGCCCGCACCTAATTTATGTATTTCTGGGATTAGACGAAGCCAAATGGACAACTGGTGAGCTCGAAAATGGTTCTTCATTTTGGGCTTCATTCCTACGTCAAATGCGTGGGAGTAAATCGAAAGGAATTTATTGGATTAAATGTTTATTTTTAGTCTTGCATTTATCGAATGCCAAGCGAATTTATAAACCCAACAATGAAAAATAATTAACTTCAAGAGCTTTTCTGTGGATTGCTGATAATTATTTAAAAGCTTAATTAATAAATGTTGTGAAATGCTGATGAAAGTTGAAAGTTAAAAGTGTTTCAGTCGATAACATGAAAAAAAGCTTTTTGCAAGTTTGGAAAAGTTTTTCAATATTTTTAATTATTTATACACTTGAAGCTTTGAAATATCATCATCTTGACGAAATTTGAAACATTTTTGAGGTGTTTTCATTCATAAATATTTTAGGAAGTTTGATGTCGACTTATTTTTATCATTCAAAATATGAAGAAACTTCCAATGGCTTCTTGTGAAAGTTTAAAAGGCAAAGCAAGACATTGAAAACTCGCATCGGAAACACCGGAAAACTTTAAAAGCAATTCAGAATATTTAATACTTTAATTTACATGGCATATTCAACAAAATTCATATGATGATCTCTTTCATCTTGCTTCATCAAACACAAAAATTTGTTGCAAAAATGAAAAGCTCTGAATAAGTTATGAAGCTCAAAGGAAATAACTCAAAGTTTTTTTTTCAGCTTTTAAATAATCTTCGTTTATTTTTTTTCATCTCTTAGCTTCCTAACAGACTCAATACAGTTAATTTACTTTGTAGTTTATTAACATTCGTAGGGATTAAATTTCATTGAGGGATTTAAAATTTCATGGGAATTATTTTCAGAGTTTTTTAGAATTTTTATGCTTCACTTCAATAATGAGAACACATTTTGATAATGCACAAAGAAAGCTCACCAATTTCCAGATATTTCTGATGTACAGCATCGTACTGGTCCCATGTGATGCTACGGAATCGATTACGTTCTTTTGATGCCGCCAAAACAGAATCTTGTCGATGTTGTTCGTTCGGATTGCTGTTGGAGTTTAAGGACAAAAGAAAAAGAGTAATCAAAGATCAGCAAACGAGTCAATTACGAAGCAATAAATAACTTTGAGCGTGGAGATGTCATATGTGAATGTATGGAAGGTTATTCTTACCCGGTCCTTACAAAATTACTCCAATAAATCATAATTGCTTCCGAAAGAGCGATTTCGGACTTTGTGTAATTTCTTGGAAAATGACTGAAGCCATCGACAAGTGGGGCTCCAAACACGTACGGTAGATCTTCACCATGCACAGTACCCATGCGCTGTGGATAATCGCCGTCTTTCGTTTGATAATCGAAAACAGAAAAGAAACACTTGGGGATGTCACTTTCTTGGCCACCGTTCGAGGTCGTCGTTGATTGCGATAAAAGGTCGCCGGTGTGTACAAGTGGAGCGACATATTGCGCATCTGATAACGCGGAAACAGCAGCATCACGAGTGATGATGGGATGTTGATTGGTTCGTTCCCAATCAGTATATTCATTGACTATTGTGTAGAAAATTTCACTAAGATGAAAGTTGTACGCATTTCTGACGTAAGTTCGAATAATTTTATCTCTTCGATCTCCTTCAAAGCCACTTTGAATGTCGCTGGCACTAAAACGCCACAAAGCTTCACCTGTGACGACACTAAACATCAAGTCAAACTGACTACCAGCTACTTGACTTCTCTTCGATGCTCTCGATGACTCGTCGATGTCTTGATTTGATCGACCAGGTCGAATAACAACTCCATCAACTGACGGTCCAAAAGCACTTAAAAAGTTTGGTGGTTGAATTTCAGCGGCAAATAATTCTTCAAGTGGAACATCTCTCAGACAATCAACGATTAATTCGTGATCTTTTATTAAGTCTTCTGGTACTGTGCAATTCACTTCTTTGGCAAGTTTCAATGCGTATACAACTGGCTCTTCGACAAGTGCCCATGATGAGAATGCTGAGCCCGACATTAGAATAGCTCGATGAAATAATCCAGGAACTTAATAATTCATAAAAACGAGTTCAATTAAATCTAAAATCATTAGAAAGATTCACAAGAAAGCTCACCCATTGTTGGTGATGACATTAAGAAGTCAATGCAAGCTGCACCAGTTCCATGACCAACCAAAGTAATCATTGTTGGATTTCCACCGAACTTCTCAATATTCTGTTGAATCCAATGGAGAGCTGCCATCTGATCCATTAGTCCATAGTTGGCAACTCTCGCTCGCATGTGTGGCGCCGGATTGGCATTTAAAAATCCTAAAAAAGGAATAATAAAGAAAGAAATGAATTTCAAGTGTGCGATGTCATAAAATTGAAATTTATTTCTTTGCACATGAATAATGTTGTTTAAAGCTTACCTAAAATTCCTAGACGGTAATTTAAAGTAACTACAATCATATCACCATAACTAGCCAAAATAGAACCATCATAAGGATTCCCAGAATTCCATTCAAATGACTCTCCGTGGATGAACACAAGTACAGGAAGTTTCTTTTCTTGTACAGCTGCTGTTGGTCGTAACATGGCAATGAAAGAATGTTGAGTGAGAGGTAAAAGGAAAAAAATATAAAAAAGAAATAAAATTGAAAATTCTTTGGCTTACCATGAAGTGGTGAGAAAACATTTAAATACAAGCAATCTTCAGATTGGTTTTGTAGGAAAGGCAATAAACGTTTTAAATATTCGAGCCGACCCTTGGGCATCTTTTTAAGAGCTTCTTGCTCGTTATGAATGTTAGGCAATCGCTGTGGACATACGGCACTGAACTTATCTGATTTTCTAATGCCATCCCATGGTGATGGTGTGCGGGTGGGGCTGAAGCTGTAATTATAGAAGCATAGAACGAAAAAGAATCATTAAATGTTCGGTTGATTCAAAAAGATAACCATAATGATCATAAATGGTTGTTATAGGCAACAGTAACGATATCGAACAGAAAATGCTGTTAACAAGAAACGAGATGAGTGCACAAAAAGGGGAAGGAAAAAATTCTTCTTTCTTGAGCTCAAATAAAAATTTGCTTTCGCTATAAATTGTCGTCGTCGCATCCGGAATCAAAGCCGAAGGGAAGCAACATCAAAAGACTGAAAGAATGTCATGAAATCAAACCATCGACAAAGTGATGAGAAATCAACATCGTCTTCATCCGTCGAAAAGTCCAACCATGAAAGTCTTTTAATTTCTTTCATGAGGAAAAAAAATTGAATGGGCAAGGAAAGATAGAAATCCAGAAAAATTCTTCAAACAAAGATGGTTGAACGTTAAATAAAAGAATGTTTTTGTGCTGATGCGGGCAATCATTATTTCACTCTTTTTTGTGATACAATTTTTGTTTTTTGTTGCTTCTTCCACATTTGTCGTATGTTGTAGAAATAAAGCTAAGCAAAATGTCGGTAATACGGCCTAAAGTTTGTACGTGAGTGTTGTCATTCGGAAGGACATTTATTTCTTATTAATTACATTGCTGATGGAATTAGAGAATCGATGGTGTGACTAGGAGCATGATGAGAAAACCCAGGGATGAAAATAAAATCATCACGTGTTCTTTGTGTCATGTTCATGTTCAATTAAAGTTTAATAAATGTCTGTTATCTTTAAAACTTTTCTCTCCAATTTCATATGTAATTGAATTTTCCTGTCTGCTCTGTTGAAATTCTACGTTGAAGTTTGTTTTCTTATGATAAGTTTTAACAAATTTCGACAATAAACAGTGAAACATTTTAACAAACGATCTCGCTTGAAGCGATACTTTTAAATAATCTGTTCAGCCTCAGCACATTCTTAGATCTTTTACAATTTTTTTGTTTCTCCAAAGGAAAACAAAAACACAAGGGACGACAAGACAACGAAGAAAAATCTCTTCTCAATTACATTCCCTAATATGTGGCGAGAAGTAAAGCTTTCTATGTCATTGTTTGATGTCTCGAGGCTAGGCCAAAGAACAAAAATGATTACTCTGTGAATGAGCGGGAAGACACGAAGAGAAGGAAAGAAAGCAAATGAAAGTGGCTTTGGACGTCTTCCACCAGACAAACACAATGTCTTAAGTTTATTCTTTTGGCTTTATTTCCTCCTCCTTCATCACCCTCAGTGTCTTCTTTCCATTGTCATTTCTGGCATCATCCACGTCTCATATATTTTTTTAATTAGACACGAAAACAAATGGCGAAACGTTTTATATTTCATTGTGCTTCTGGTGTTGGTTTTTAAATAGTTAAACGTGGTATTTTATTTCGCTTGGGGAAAATATTAGTCGCACTCATTGGAAGGTGAATGAAATGATAGCAAGCAAATATGTCATAATGCTGAACGAAATGTGACGTTAATTTAAAAAGTTTACGAGATAAGAAAAATATTTTTCTAAATATCATAAAGAAGATGTAAGAAGCTTGAAGTTTCAAGTGTAAGGACAAATATTGGTTTTATTTTCCCGTAGGTTGAAGTGGAAGTCAAAAGTTAACGACCTTAGAATAGATAAATAAGTTGAAGGAAAGCTTAGTAATATTTGTTTCCACATCAATCAAAAGCTTTCAATTAAAATTATTTTCTTAAGAGCTTTGAAATTATTTGAGCACAAAAATGGGTGCTCATCGATAAAGTCTTCGTTAGATTTCAATGTTTCGCAAAACAACAATTGCGAAGGCAGAAAAGCGATTAAAACTTTTTTTTGCGAAACTTTTGAATTAACGCGTAAACAGAAAAATATCCGCGAGTTTTATGCCTCAAAACCTTTCGTTCTAATTTATTGAAAAATTACTTTACGTAATTTTCCGAAATTTTCCTTAACTTGCAAGCATTTCCCATCATCCACCCACGTAAGGCGACTTGTTTAAATTTCGGAAAACATAATGCTTCGGTGTGGTTTTTAATATTGAGTTTATCAGTTGCTCCCCTTTTCAGCGCTTTGTTCTTTCATTTTATTTTCTTTCGCTTGGAAAAAAGAAAATATGATTTATTACTTAATTTCTTTATTCAATATCTACTGCGGCAAAGTTGCAAAGTAAGCAAAATCTGGTAAAATCTTTTCCTATCTTAGACGCATTAGGATGAAATTAAAATAAAAAAAAGTTTAAAAAATGAGGAAACGCTAATGTGAAGCAGCTACGACCACTTGGAATGTGAATTATGTAAAAGGCTCGAATGTAGAACATCTACATAAGTAAGTTAAGAACTTGAAGCTTCTCCAGTTATGTCGCTTAACAGGCAATAAAAATCTGTTATATTTTCCTTTCCCTCTTTTTATTCTCTTTTAAAGTATGTAGTTGAACTTTTATCTCCTTTTTTATAATGCACGAAATAGCAGCATGGTGGGTGGTGAGAAAAACTTTCTGCCTTTCAATACTTATTCAGCAAAAGGCCATACGATAACGAGTTGAGCGACGAATAAAAAAAACAGCTCGAAATTTTTTTTTTCTTTGAAAAATTATGAGGAAAATATTTCACCATAGGAGAAGTAATCATAAATAATTTCTCGCTTTTATTAAATGACCTTTTTCTTTCCTTTACACTCCCTCGCATCTCACGTTCATATCTTTTTACTTATGACGACATGACGGTCTACACAGACACCAGAGATATGATGAATGATTCAACGTTGTCGGAAAATGTATATAAAGTGTAACAATTTATAAATTTCATTAATTGTGAGGCTTCTTTGTATAAGATCTCATGTACAAAAAGCTGCAACAGCTAAGCGAATGATGATAAGAAAGCGGGTTGAAAGATAAGTCTCGGAAAATCACAGTTGTCAGTTATTTATGTCATAAATGAATGAATGAATGAATGATACCTTGCAGTAAGCATAACGTTACAACCTCCAATTTCTTTACAAGGTTGTCATCTATCGTTATAAAGTAAACTCAGAAAGCATTCATCATGACTACATGAAAAGATTTTCTTTATTTCATTCTGCTTTTCACATATTTTTTTTCTTTCTTAATGTAAACTCAACTCTGCAATTCATGCTGCGTTTTTGATAGTTTTTCCATCTTATTTTTTCTCATTTTCTCGATAATAAAAATGCTTTTTCATGAGATTGACAATAGTTTATGGAAGAGAAATGTGTACTTAAAGCACAAACATAAGAACTTCTCAGACTGAAGAATGAATGCAGTTAAAGCTCAAGCAGTTCATTTTTTCTTTCAACATTGAAAAACTTAAGCTGCAGTGGGAGTACACAAACAAATTGAAAATTATTCTTTCAATTGCACTGCAATGTCCAACAGAGATAGTGAATAGAAGCCTATAATTTGCTTAGTTGAAACTTTCCTCTCCTGCTTTCGAGAATCTTCAATAAATTGTGAACTTTTCTTCTTCCATTTTCACTTTGCAGTGAAGTTGAAGAAAGTTTGCTCAGCAAGAAAATTGTTTGCATGAAATGAAAATCAGAAAATCTGTGATTTTAATGAGATGTTGGAAGTGATAATATTTGAGACCAATGAAAATCTAGATTTGTGTCGGCTTTCAGAAACAAACCAATGCAGCATTTAAACTTGATATGAGCACGTCCGAAGCAATTACATGCTGAAAATTCTTTTATTATTTAACATTTTCATAGCTTTATGGATGTTGAGAGGAAAGGATAATTTTCCACTGGTTACAACTTTAAGCATTCCTCAATTCTCCATCTAGATATGAAACTTTATGAAAATTATTTTGAATGTTTCTAAGTATATTTCCATTAGACTTCAAATTCACATTATCAAATCCATTGAAACGTTTTATTGTCGTCTAAGCAAGTCCAAGTATTTCTAAGCATTGTTATAATGCCTTCCGAGTTGGAAGGGACAAAAAATGACTTGTTTAAAGCTTTCACCCCAGTGAATGCAGTAAAGTAAATTGCACAATAACATTACAGGAAATTGCTAGAACATGATGCTTAGTTCACGCTTGACTGGGGAGATCTCTATATGAATAGACGGCAACCTCATGTCCACATATGTTTTCATACACTTTCGGAAGATATTAGCTGTAGCTTTTTATTATCTTTAAAATCCTCTTTTTCGAAGCATGAATGCTGTTTTATTCACCTTTTCTCATCCTCTTAATGGAATGAGATGCCAAAACTGCACAAGAAGCTTTTTTTTATTACACATATGAATGTTGAAGCAGAAAACAAATATAAGAACATTGCTTGTATGTTTAACGTGTACAGAGCTGCCATTTCCATGCATATCACTTAGGAAATAATCAAATTAAATTTTATTACCGCTTTTTGTTTTCCCGTTTTGAATATTGAATTAAATTATTGCAAGATGGATAAATGTATCGGTAGAGACAAGAAATTTTGATCATTGTCGCATTTTAATTTAGTTAGAAAGGAAATTATGGCATCAAAGAATGTTCCACCCACGCACAACAGTCATGAATCTAACTTGCTTGCTTATTATTTTTTCTTTCTTCTTCTTATCACTCCTTTCATCGACAATAAATATTGTTTGTGCTTATCGTTCGTGCTTCTCAAATAAATATATTGAAATGAAATGATGGGAACAAGTTCTTCGAGACGTTCGTATATTATCGCTCAGTTGATAAATGAATCCGAATGAAATGCAATTTCTTGAAAAACAATCTCGTAGTGATTAAGTGTTTCTTTGCTTCTCATGTTTCGTTTCTGGTTTTGGTTTAGCAAAATAGAAATTTTCATTAAATATCTCAGACTATTTGACGCTTAATTTATTGAGGAAAAATGTAAATTTTTTTCTTTCGTGAACTGAGTGAACATGTTAACTGGAAATGAATCCGCAGATTTTTCCCTCACCATCTACACTTTTTCATCTTTTGCTGTATACTCAAAGCTTTCATTTGACTAAGAGTAAATAACCGAAATATGAGGAAACAGTTGAACGTTTGATTGCATGATTTAAATAATCTCATACACAAGGGTAAAACGTTTACAAGTTTTTCTCTCACTTTCCTTCATCAATCGGCTTTTCTCCTTCTTTCATTTGGGATTCCTTTCATCTTAAATTCTTTATTATTAAATTTATTTGCTTACGTCATAAACCATAAATTTTGTAGTTATGTTGCTGTGCGATTAATTTTATCAAAACATATTTATGCACATGTTCTACTAATTACCTAAATTTGACAAATAAATGAATTATCTTCAGCCATATTTAATAAAATTTTTCCAATTTAATATTATTAGCAACTTCAGATTTTCAAATTTTTAGCTCCTTACTATTTATTCGATCCTCGAAACAATCTGCTGTTAATGTTATTACATAAAATATCACATATAAATATTCAAAAGCATTAATAACTTCCATCCATTTATATGTCGAACGCGCAAAACAGAAATCATGGAAATAATTTGATTTATTTTGTATCCGATTGAAAAGTTGGTCGCCAATTTTCCAACGATTTACATTTTGTGATAGGTTTTTTAAAATAAATATTTTTGTTTACCAAACGAATCGCTTATATGAACGAAACCACGCAATTCGTGAATGTAATGTCATCATCGTGTAGGTATTAAAAAAGTAAAGTCATCTGAATTCGGGATGATAAAATAATTCTGGTGATGCTGTTGTACATTTCATTAAATTGCGCTTGTAACTTTCCCAGGGGATGAAAAACATGAAACAGAAAGGATTCATAATGAAACAATAACCATTCAAAAGGTCGGTTTTCAAACATTAATCTTCAGTTTAGGTCTTTCAATCTGACTGACGGAATGAATAAATGAACGGGGAAGTCAATGACATGTGAACAAAAACTATTCTTATTCAATTTGAATATTATTTAAATGTCTTGCTTTAAGTCTGCCATTACAAAGTATCAAAAGGTTTTCTCTTCATTAAAACGAAAGACCGTCGTTTCCTTTTACAATTCTTGAAAACCTTGGAACTAAAATTAAACTAAATGCATTGAAGAAACAATTGAATAAGTTATGCAAGAGGCAAAAACAGTAAGAGAATCATTAATTAAAATCCATTTACAAGTCATTTCGAAATATTTAATAGAGCATAATTATCACCCCATTCTAAATTCACCATTTTTTCGTTGCTTGCCTTACTATGTAGCTCTTCATGTTGCTGTCACAGTCGTCGAGCTTTGAATATGAAATTAAATAATATTGTAGATGTTGAAAGTTCTCTCTCGTCTTATTATTTGATTGTAGCAATTTGAATAAATAAATAATAAATTTATTGAAAATGGAATTGTGGAGCGTCTTGGAAAATTTTCCCTTTCAGTTTAAGGATTAAGGAAAATCATTTGTTGAACAAGTGAGATTTACCTAAACGAAAGTCATCAATAAGGAAGATCTTCTGAATCTGAAGTTGAAACTTTAATAAAAATTATGATCTGAATTATGAACCGCTATTGAAAACTTAACTCGGTTCCCTTAATGACATCAAATTCTTTAAAACTTTCACTTTGCAGAATTTTAAAAGATTTTATAGGAAAATTTGACAAATAAATTAATAATTTTTCTAGATTTCCTTTTAAACTGAAGCATTGTTATGAATGCTAACTGAATTAATTGGAAAGCGGAGGGGGAAAAGCAAAGAACAATTCATATTGAACGCCCACTTGAATCGCTCATAAATTTCGACAAAAAAAAGTTTTTCATTAAAACAAAAGTTCAACTTTAGCGTGTATGTTGGAAAATAAATGGAAAGCGGTGTAAAAATAAAAGAAGCATCAAGGGAAAGGGAAACGAGAATTTGTTTTATGCATTTTGTGTGAAGTATTCGATGAGTTATAGCGAGAACCAGAAGAAGAATTGGCAAATGAATAACGAGTTTTATTAAGTAATGAATAAACGAGGTTTTTCACTTTGCAGTTTTTCTTTTCAACCGCAATTTTCTAAAAAGGGAAAAAAAACTTTTTTAATTTTATTTTTTGCATAAATGAATCATCAATCTTACAAAAGCGTTTGATTGAGTTTCGAGAGTGTGAATGAGAAATAAATGCGCAATTTGCACTCAAGATTTCGTCTTCAGTCACAGTCTCAATCATCTTAATATTTAATCTATTGAAATGAAGGCAAGAACAATGAGAATTTACTTTAATGATGGCGATGAAAGATTTTATGAACGCCCTCAAAGCTCCTCCAATAATTCAGAAACGATGCCTAAGCTCATCGTTTGAAACGTTGCTTTCACATCTAAGAGGATTTTGCAATAGCAAATATAAACGTGATTTCAAACGATCAAATTTGTTAAGTTAAGCGTAAAATATCAAATCACTAGAGAGTATTTAGCTCTCGTTTTACAGTCTTTCGACGATAAGCTAAAGCTTTTGTGGTTGAGTGCGGAGAGATGGAAAATTATTTTCGTATGCTTTTTTGCATTCTCATCGAATTTTATTTAAATATTTTGTTGCCGCCCTCGTTCTTCGATCGGATGCTCGTACGTGCGAGCTCAAAGATGATCTAAGTTAGAAATTGGATATTGGTGGACGAAATGGTTTTAGACTCAATTTAATGGGAACAATTGTTGTTTAGTTTTGGACTTAAACAGAAAAAATGGGTTTGGAAAAGCTGATTTCAAAGAATTGCTTGAAGTCAAACGAACACACCAAATAGAAAACGGATAATAAATGTATGATTGTCTATTATATTGGAATGGAGAATGAAAATTTAATACCCTTTCTTCGGCGACCTTTTTTTGGTAATAAAAATATTTATTATTCTAATATATCTTCAAAGCTGAGAGCTATTTATCTTTACACATCCATACACGACATAAGACGAAGAGAAAACTGAGCTCGAAGGCCTCAAAGAAATTTCATCGAACGAGTTTCGTCGAGGCAAATTGTTAATAGAATAGTTTATGAGTAATGGAATCCCTTGAACTTCCGTTTCCTTTCTAAGCATTTGGCTATGCAATGTTGAAGTATTAACAACTTTTCAATCAAATACTTAGCTACAAAACTCCATGTGAAGAATAAAAAGAAATTTCTTCCCCTCTCGTCCCTTTAAAGATTGACAGGGTTTACAGTTAGTGAGATTAGTAACATAAGTAGAGCGAATTCCATGTTAGAAATCGAGACACATGGCAACACTGATATTGATTTATTGCAAAAATACATTTATCATTGCGGTTGTGAAGGAGCGATCGAGCGAGCGATGGGTGATGCGAGGAAAACAAGCAGTAAAGGAAATAAGAGCCCTTACGATGAGCTTCATAAATAGCGTGCGTACATTACTCAACCATAGCTTTCGCCCACATATTAAACGAGAGAAATTATCTAAATCTTTTAGATACCCGCACATAAGCGCTATGAAAGCTTTTTGCTTCACCGCAAAAATCCTATTTTACTGCTCGATTATCTGAGAAGCATTTCTTTCCGATAAAAATGAAAATGAAAATGACGAAACCGGCAGATATTTTGTGTTTTTCGTTTTACTATTCTAAGCAACAATTTATCAAATCATTGAGCATTTTGGTTCATTTTCTTCTTCTTCGTCTTTTGTTAGACATAAAAAATTGCAAACGTTGGCACATTAAACACGCAATTTATGAGTAAAACCACACGCAGATTGAATGTTTACACAAAAAATAATAGTTCCATTTTAACTATGCGACAACGAGTCAAGAAAGTCTTACACGCACCCAAAACTTTTAAAGAATCGTAAAAGTTTTCATTATCTTGAAGGAAAATTGCTAAACCATGATCTTAGCTTGAGGTGAGAATCCTTTGGAAATATCATGAAATTTCGGAGACGAGGCAGCAAAGATGTTACAAATGTCTTGAAAACAATGAAGATAACGTCCTAAAGGAGATGGAGGGAGAATGAAACAATTAATTTGTTAGAGGAACCTAAATTGGATTAAATACAAAAGTTTATGTGCACATCTTTTTGATTCTATTCAAATGGTGAGAGGCAGAAGATATCAGTAGAGTGAGAATTTGTAAAATTTATGAACGTTGAAATTGAAAATCTTTCTTGGAATTTTGATTTTGTGAAAGCTCAAAACATTTCAAATGAACAGCAATTGAATGAGCAGCAATCATTTTAAATTGAAACTTTTCTCTTTTAAATTTGTTTCAATTGCTTTTAGCGAACTTGAGCATTGATAAATATCTTTAATGTTAAGTGGAAAGAAGCAAACTACGCGAATAAATATTTTTCGTTTTTAATTTGACATTTAAAAGCATTGAAAACGAAAGTGTCTAATTTATATCTAATTTCTTTCACTCTCAGACATACTCAGACATACGTAACAAAAGATTAATGAAATGGGACTTAAATCAGCACAATTTAATTAAAAATGTACGAAGGCAAAAAATGAGGATTGGCACATTTTTTATTCAGAGGGTAAGAAAAAAGATTTTGCTTAATTCCTTCATTGAAGATTTTTCTCTTTCTGTTATCTAATAAAGTGACTGTCAAGACCTTTAAAATAAATGAAATCATTGGCTAGAAAACAAATGAAAACTGACTGTTTAAAAAATTCTTTTTCTATTTGCCAGAAACCGAGACATGAAGTTTATGTTTTGAAAATCATTTGATTTAATTATTTATATCAATTAGTGTCATAAATAAAATATTTTACTTTGTTGAATTTCAAATAGAAGTAAACTTAGCTACAATTTTGACTTATTATGCAATTACTCAACAGAACTTTTTTCTGAAGCTAGTTTTTCATGAAACTTTGACACTTTAATATTTCAAAAGTTTTCAAATTACTATAAAATATTTGCAAGTGAAATGAGACATTGATTGAATAAGGTTTCATCATGAAACTTCCTTTTAGTCACAAATAATAAAACAGAAACATTTAATTACAATACATTTTTGCCACAAAATTTCTTCAAACAATAGTCATGAATATATTTAATACAAATTTTAATATAATACATCGTCGTTCACTTCTTAGCAATGTTAATGTAATATTATAATTAACTAGATAGCATAAAGTTGAAAATTTTATGGAATAGAACGTCAGCTTGAACTGAAATTTCTAAGCTATAAAATAAAACTATAATTTTCCGTTTTGAAACCTATTCAAATTTACAAAACAAAAAAAGATATTCCACAGGCTTCGTAACACAACGAGAAAGCTTTTCATGTGCTTCCGTATTCGTTTTTAAGTATAATACATTACCATGAATAATTTTTCTATGCATAGATTTTACTTATTCACATGATAATGAACGTTAGTAGTGAACGTTTGAGAGGGAAGGAAGTGTATAGTGATGAATTTAATCTTTTCTTCTTAACAAAATAGCAGCGGGAAAGTTAAACTAAGAAAATTAGCTCAACTAGATATCTATAATGAAGACAGAAATGGAAAAATGTTAAAATTCTAAAAGTTTTAGAAGGAAATCGATAAAGCTTTGCTACATAAGAAACTACAGTGAAACTTTGATAAACAGATAACTCAAGGAGGACAAAAAAATATTTGTTTGTCGAGGTTATTTGTTTATCGAGGCAATCTTGCATACAAATTCGATTCAAGGGGAACATAAAATATCTGTTCATCAAGGTTTATATGCTTATCGAAGTAACTGTTTATCGAAGTTCCACTGTACGAGAACATGAATCGGTTTTAAAACGAACATTCTACATATTTTACGAAGTAGTGTAATTATATTTCCCGTTAATAATTTAAATTTATTGTTATTAGGAAAAAGGGCCAAAATGCGAATAAAATGAGTAAAGTTTAGAAAATTAAATATTTTCTCCAACAACTATGAAGGATTTTTTACCACAGCGATTAATCATTTTAGAGAACAGAAAATGTTTTGCACACAAACACTTTAATCTGCACGAACGATCTCTAACTTCTTGGACTTTGTGTTATTCCCTTTTCGTGTTGTTAAGGGCTTGAAAAAGGTTAAGAGACTTTTACTTTCGCGTGTTTAATTGGAAATTATTCTATTTTATGTCAAGTATTAACTTTCGACATTCCCATTATGTGTGCAGTGAGTGACTACGATAACATAAGAAAATGGGCTTTTCATCTACCCACATTGGAGTCAGTCATGTCGTCATAACAAAAATAACAAAACTTTTGTAGTAATCCCACTGCTTTCGCTGACATTTACACTTCAACTTTCTTCACTCATTGTAATGAAATGCTTTTGATTTGTTGTAAATCAAACACGCCAGCATAAAAAAGCTTCTATGTCATTTCTTATTTCTTCTGTTGTTAAGTCGTTAAGCTTTTACAAACATCCACTGACACAGAAAAAATGTTATACGTTCCTTTTTTTATTAAGACAATGAAAAGTTTACAAGGAAGTAAGGAAATTAATATCTCAATAAAAAAATGTTCTGCAAAACAATGAAGCGAGTTAAGTGAGTTTCCTTCAACAAAAGCAACCAACATCTGCAAAACGGTAACAAACGATTCTGTTTAATAATTTATTCATCTCATTTAAGCAAGAGGAATGTTGGATAATCTACTTTATTGTGGAATTTATTTTAAGGAGAATTGGAATTATGAGTTTGCGGAAAAGTAGGAAATCGCGTGAAATTGCTATCACCACTAATTGTGACGCTGTTTAATTATCAGAATTTTATTGCCAGTCTATAAATATATTTCGTCATTCCAAGTTAATAATAAATGAATGCTCTCAGCTATTAATCGTCGCTCAATCGTGAAGTTTACGATAGTAATTAGTAATTAACTGTGTAACTTCCTAATTGCAAGGCGTATTTCCGCATTTTAATGAAATCACTTGTTTCTATCCATAACAAAATCGTCTTGTAGACGTGATAACATCTCGATGCCATTATTGTAACCATGATTGAAACAAAACATTGGAAATTACCATCAACAGTTGAAAGTAATGGCGGAACTTTTCCTCGACATTCTCAGTAATTAAAACATTTCAAAAACATGTTTTCAAGGTAACATTTCGATATATTTTAATTAATTTTTTTCATTCTGTTGATTTTTTCTTCTCCTAAAATGTGATTTCAATATTTGAATACCAATCAACCGGAATGTTTTTGAAAATCATTTTTAATAATTACAAAAGTATTTCAAAATTTAAACAGTAATTTAATAAGATTTTCAATTAAAACATCTTTCTCGAGGATCTACATGCATAATTGAAAGTCTCAAAATTTATTCAAAAGCTATAAAATCAATTTTCATTTAATTTTTTCCTTCCACAATCATTGAGAACGAATATTATTTAATATGAAGTCTGATAACATCATGAATGGTTGAAATTCCGCTTTCTTTGAAGCTCTCGAAGGTTAAATTAAATTCCCTTCATCCGGTACATACATTAATTTAATTGAATTTCAATTTTGAGACATGCCATCATCTACATGTATGTATAAGAGAATTTTGAGATTATTTATTATTCACTCGACATGAAATTATTAACTTGTAAATTTTACGTGCTGTTCAATCGTTTGTGCGTTAGATCGATTGTATTAAGTAACTTATACAAACAAGGATATTAAAATTTTGAATGTTTACGACTGATTTCAGATGAATTACATTTATGTTTTCATAGGAAATCGTGCTGGAAATTTTATTGACATCCTTCAGAGCTCTCAGCTTGCGCACCTCAACTGATTTGAATATCTTTGTTATTTTTATTTCCCTTCCACAAACACCTCCACAAATTTCGATTTTATTTTTGCCTTTTTTCTTCATTTCAAGCAACAACATGGCTTTTGTTTTTCTAAAGTAGGTGTTTAAAAAGAAACTGTTCATTGAAAGCAGGATGCGAGTGATAAAATAACGCCTACAGTCAAAATAAAGTAAAAAAATGAAATTTGAAATAACAAAGCTTTTTAGAATATTTATTAAATCTCACTTTTTATCTTTGATCGAAAAAAAAAAGAAGAATTTGTGTTCATTCAAGAAATAGAATAAAGTAAATATTTTCTGTGAACAGCAATTGCGAAAGTAGGAAGCTCGTTAAAAGATGAAGAGAGTTGTGAATGTTTACACTTGAGAGGCATGTTTATTTTCTAAGACGGATGTACTTTGTATTCAAACAACTGAAAAGCTTGATATTGCCTGTGAGCCTTTCTTTTTTTGTTCCCTCTCATCTTCATTGTATAATCAGATCTCATGATATGAACACATATAGATATGTCTCGGCTTAAGGAATATAAGCCTCGCAGCATTTAGAACGAGGGCGTTGTGATGCTTGAATTCTTATTTTGTATTTTTCATACGTTTCTCTTCTTCATGACGATCACGGAACGAATCTTTGATGTTGGAAAGATTTAAACTGAAAATCTAGATATTTTTCAAAAGAAATTCTTGGTCTTTGATCAAATAAATAATTTTAAAAAATCGTGATGTTACAGACGTGCTTGATGAATTTTTTCTTAGAAAATATTTCTAAGCTTAAGTTCATTATTTATGATCATTGTAGCACATGGCGCGTTACGATCTTTTTCACAATAAGTCTTCCATAAACTTTTGTAAATTCTTTCATTCAGAAATTTTCCATTAGTGAGAAGCAAAGTGAAATATTGTTCAATTTCGTCGCCTTTGACAGTTGCCGACCCAAACAACCGACCAAGGGAACTAAACCTATTTCTTTTTAAATGGACTTTAAAAAAAAGAAAAAACGACGAGTTTGCATAATATGTGACTGAAATAATTTGTTCATTCTTCACATTTCGACCGTTCACTCAATATATCTTCCTTCTTATGTTTTGATAGAGAAGAGGCAAAAAAAATTGAATGTTTGCGTTGTGCGAATCGAAAGTTGGCCTTTTTGTCAAAGTTCATTTTTCTTCTTTCGGCCGTTGGCTTAAAAAAATAAACAATTTTCTTTGTATCCTCAGGAAATGGTTTCTGGGATATGAGAGAGAGAGAAAGATGAAAAAGAAGAGGAAAGTGCGAAGGAAAAAGAAGATGAAAAAATAGACATTAGAATGACACATGATGTATCATTGTGAATTATAACGAGAAGCTATTTTCTTTTCCAAGAATAAGATTTTGGGGCTTAACGCTACCCGCATTGATTCCTTCGAAATGATTAACTTCATCTATCAACGTAAAGGAAATTACATGAGATTGGAATTTTTTCCCATCAGAAATCAACTAAATAATGTAACAACGACGCTCCGGTTTTTTTCTGTTATATAAATAGTAAGACTCGCTTCATAAACTTATGATATCTTGAGAGTATTTTGCTATCGACATAGCATTCAGTCACAGTCCTTTAAATTTAATTAAACATAGCCATCGATAGACGGGAGAGTGTCTCGAGATACTTTATATTCCATGAAGCGTTTCATGCGACAGTTGTCAGTATTCGGGGGCATGAAATATATAGTCAGCATTTAGGGTTCCTTTCTCGCTTCAAATATCCATGGAAAATGTGCTCCACGAACGATTCAAGTCGTTTGCTTTTCTCTCATTTTCCCACCCTTAGAAATATTATATTATTAACTATATTTAGGAGTAACCCAATTTCACTGGCTCTACGTTCACACAATATTGAATACAATTTCGTTATTGCCCATCATCATCATTACAAGGATTTCGTGTTAAACGAGAATTAAAGTGAACAAAATTTAAAAGCCTTGCTATGGAATGTTGGTGCGTCCAAATGAACGCTTCGAAAATCAGTTATCAAAAAGGAAACATGTAGCCTTAATAAAATAATAAAAATCGTTAATTATGGTCTTTGTAAAAGTTTAATCTGTTATAAATTTGTGGGCGATTTTACAACCACATTTCTGTGCACAGAATTAAAAACTCATATGTATTAAAATAATAAAGTTTCAAAAGCTTTTTCAATTCACAAAAGCAGCCGAAAAAGTTTCATTTTAATTATCCTGTAAGATTAATGAAGAAACTTTAACAAAGGCATTTTAGCATTTTATTCCGAAAAGTTTCTCATAAATAGAATCAGATTAAATTGATTTCATCAAACATCAAATATTTCTTCAAAGAATTTCTTCAAAACTTAAGAGTGTTGAAAATTCAAAAGTCTCTGTCAAGCATGAAAGTGGAAACACTTATTTGATTATCAGTAATTTAAAGTCTATTCTTGGAATGGGATTTTATTTAAATGAATGCTTCCGTTGATACTGCCCGGAATATTAGAAAGGGACGACTTTTTTTTAAAGGACATTCTTGTGAAAAATGAAGAGCTGATTGTGTCAACAAACGGGAGTGTGATTACATAATTTTATCATCAACAATTTCATTTGAAATAAAATTTTATTTTTTTGAAGGATGTCGGAAGAACTCTTTCAATGATATTCCACTTGAACTGCCACTATCACCATTTAAATATAAAAATATTTTTCCAATTTCCTCGACAAGCTTTTTCTTCATTTTCATTCCTCTTGTTAGATATTTAATTTATTTCACTATGTGAGCTTATGTCATAAACAAAATGATATTCCAACAGTTTTATTTTCTTCGTTAAGTCAAGTTGAATGAATTTGTTGCCGCATGTTCCTTTTCTTCTTTCCCTTCCCTTCCCGATCATCGAATGCATGTAAAATTCAAATAATAAAATGTCAGGAATTGACAAAACCAACAAAGTTGTAAATTTTACGACATCGTTCATTTCATGTTATGATAATCGAATGAAGTTAAATGAGAAGCATATGTGTATATGCGTGGGTGTGTGTGAGTGTTTATGATGTTAGACTGAAAAGATGATTGAAATAGAACTTTGCATAATAATAAGTAAGACACAATTTTCATTTTAACAAAACCAAATGTGCAAACAGTTGAAATGCCGGAAATTTCATTCCTGATTATGTTCGAATTTTGACGATTTTGTCACGTTCGTTCCTTCAAGTACACGTAAAAAGGTTTTCCAACAATGACAACCAAGCAACAGAAGCGAGAAGGAAAACAAACATTGAGGTAAAATTGAAGGAAATTTCTCGAAACTTTTTAATTTCCAACTAATGAATATATTTATGATGAAGTTTGCAATATTTTTTTCATGATGAAACCTTTAATTAAAGTTGTTTGTTACTTAGAGCAGAAAAGTTGGTCACATCAGATGTTCATCATTTAATTATTTTTAATGCATAATGTTTTGGAGAGTGATTTCAACTTCCTATCTAGGCAACGACGTTTTGAATGAGTTTTCATTCAATTTTCTCGCATCACAGAACATGAAAATAAAAATTCTAAACATAAAAATCATGGATTGTATTTTTAGAGAGATTTTCAACGTGATAAAAACAAAAATTGCAGCTACACAAAAACTAGATACATGCACAAATATTTAACAAAAACTTGTTGACCTATTAATTGTTGAAACATGTTCACACTACATAAGGTGAATTCAAACAACGCTCAATAGACACATCATGACATCATCGCCATAGAAAACACAGAATCAACAGAATTCCTTCTGAAATCATGGACATTTGAATTCATTTTCATCAACAGCTTCAGGCGTGCAATTGTCACAAGTTTTGTGAGTCAATGAATATTTTGTCGAAAAGTTAAAAGGCGCTCATTTGGATAAGAACGCATATCTATGCCATGAAGACTGAATAACAAACAACTTTCATAAAAATAAATTGGTCAAAACTTCGTCTCACATTTCTCTTCTTTCGCAGCTTCTGGTGGCGAAATGGGAAAAAAATTGTGGTAAATAAATAGAGTATAAATTATTTTATGTGGAAGGTCTATCTTCTCTCACTCCTACAATTTACAAATTACACTTTTTTCATTTCATAAAACATTTTTATGTTTTTGACCATTGTTTAGATGAAAAGTGGTTTTCGTTAGTATTCTTTCATTTGCCAATTTATTTATGATGAAAAAGCTTCTCCTATTCTCGGGGCATTTTATTTCTGGTGAAATTTAAAAAGTTTTTCGATTAATTTTTATGTTTCACATTTGAGATACTTTTTGAAAGGGCCGCACCCGACTTTGAGCTTGCTGACGAAAACGTTTGTTTGAAGAAGAGTGAGATATTCGCAAAACTTTCTTCAAACAGCTATAACGTGTGGTTATAATAGCGTATAAGAACTTTGTGTTGTTGAATGTCCAAGGGAATTATTTTGTAGAACATTTCGTGAACCAAAAACTTTCGTTTTTTATGTGAGAAAGTTTTGGAGGCAGTAAAAATTTGTATTAAAAATTTTATGTGATTTTCTAACATTTGGTGACTTTTTAAATTGAAAACATGTTGTGGAAAGGAATTCTAGGAACGTTTATAATTAAAGTTTTAATTAATATTGGATGTTGTTTACGTCTGTTGCTTTTGCAACTTTTTATAATGGCTTAATTTTCGTCAAAGGAATGCAATAACAAAGGAAATTGGAGATTCTTTTGAATGTTTACGGTCTTTTGAGTCTAGACGATACACATGAAAATTTCATCTATAAAAGGAGAATATAATCTCGAGTATTTCAAGTAATATGAATTAGATGACTTGAAAGCTTTAGTTGAAGCCTTCAAGATGCTATTACGATAATTGAAAACAAAAATGTTGACTTTTCCTAACTGATTTTCATGTCGTTGACAAAAGCATAAACATTTACAACCCAAAGAACAATAAACGAGATTTCCATTACTTAATAAGTATTTAGATAGTTCTCGTCGAGAAGATTCTTTTAAAGTGAATTATTTTCCAATTCTGAATCAATATTTCTTCCATGGAATGTGAAAATTAATTTAAGAAACATTTGCAGATTTTATATTAAGCTAGTAATAAAATCAATAACATTATTGATTTATTCCTTATTTGCGTGATTCCATGAATAAATTCTAATCTTAATATTCCGAACGTTTCCCTACAACTCCACCAAGGTCAAACAACAAATAAAACGTTGCATGTTTACTCAAATATTTATTTATGAAATGCATGTTTATAAACGATCAACAGAAAAAATATTAAAATTTTGATCTTGATGCCCGAAACTGTTCGTTTGCTATCGAAAACCGAAAGTTGTGTCCTTGCAATTCACACAGAGTCTGAAATATTTTTCGGGAAATTTTCAATTACCGAAATGGATGTCCGGGAGCAGCAATAAAAGAAGTAAAAAAAGCTTTTGCTCCTAGTTAAGATCGAGTATGTTATGCTATCGATAAAATCTTTAATCTCCAATGTGATTTATTTTCTGGAGTTCACAAGGATTATGTGAAAGTTTCTTAAAAGCAAATGAAACTCGAGGGTCACGTACATAGCTGAAACAATGAATGTTTTAAAGACTTTTCATTGCATTTCAGGTGTTTCATGTCACTTGAAACAAGCAAAACTGACGTGAAAAGTGTTAGCTTTTGATTTATGTTGAAAAATGGAATCAATATTTCCATGTGTCGATGGCAATAAAAAATAGAAAGGAAAATCTATGACATAGTTTGTGAACACAAATGATTTCCCTTCTTGCATTTTTAACAAGCTTTTGTAGGCAGTTCTTGTGATTGATATAAAAAAGGTAGCCGCAACTGTCACCATAGAAATAAATCAATCAAAGTTTGAATTTCGATATTTTTCAAAATTAAAGCTACATGAAATCTCAAAACCTGCCTTTTCAGCGTTTTCGTCAGCTTTTTTTTTCTCAAATTCAGTGGGATTCAACATCAGTTTGTGACAGGTTCATTATTAATTTTTACCGGCATCATGCTAAATATGTCAATTTAAATACGAATCGAACACAACATGTGGGTATGTTTGCTATGAATTGAAATGGAAAAGCTTTTAACGTTATCTATGCCAATATAAGTTCACAAAAAGTTTCAAGTATTAAAAGAGAATTTTTTTAGGTCAAGTAAAAGCTCTAAGCAAAAATAACAAAACTCATACGAGCATCAAATAGACGATTAAACTCAAGACTTTTCACGTTCATCATAATCAAGTATTGATGTTATATAATTGTAAGAATTAAATTACTCGGAAATATTTCTCGTCACATACAATATTCATGTGTACGACGAAACATAATCTCGAATAAAAGTTGAAGATGAGAAAAGAAAACAAAAGGGGGGAAAAGTTTCGTGAATGAGTTCTAAGGTCGCTCTCAGGTTACAAATAAAAATATTATGATAAGCAAGTTCACTTTTGCTTTTGTGTATCTGAGGTGGGATTGAGTTGAATAACGAAAACAAAAAAGAATGAAAGAGAAAGAAAAAAAAGGAAAACTGTCAAGTAAAAATAAAGTAAACGATGATATTTTATGAAAACGATATTTGTGTGAATTATTTTGGGGACCATTCAGAGGTTGAAGCTTAGATTTGCTTTTTTCTTCTTTTTTTATTTGACGCTTTAATGCGACTCGTACATTTATGTCATAAAAGTTTCTCAACTTTCTTATTTCTCATGTTTTTCCACTTTTGTTCTTTGTCGTGTTATCGCTCGAATGGGAATTTATTCTTTTTGTTGGTGCGCATTATTGCTTCGCATAAAAAAGAAATTTATGTTGAAAGCGAAATAGTAGTAAAGTTGAAAAATTAGCTGTTAGCTTGTGATGTTATCAGGATGACTATCTGAGTAATCTGCTTTAAAAATTGTTTTAGAAAATTTGAAATTCCTCTCTCAAATTGAAAATTCTTTCAACCGATTAAGAAGCTTATGAAACAATCGCCATCCTCAGATCAGTTATTATAAAAAGTTTTAAGAAGCTTGTGAGAATATTCGTCACAAAAATGAAAGCTTAAGACGCTTTCTGACTATGATGACGGTTTGTGAGAAGTCAAAGCTGACTATGATAATTCTATTTATAAAGTATCGACTTAAAGAATGTTCAGCCTTCATCATTTACTTATGTTCGCAAAGATTTTTGTTTGTTTAGAAATAAATTTCCTCACATCAGAACGATAATCAGAATTCTCCAAAAGAATTCAAGTGTAAGCAATCGCTTATTTCTTATGAGGAAAAAAGGTCATGTGTTCAGATAAACCATCCCAATATCATGCATGATACGGCTCTATAAACAAGAGTTCTTTTTCACCAGCCTATGCTTTTCATACCATGCACAGTGAAATAAATTTATCCTAAAATATCCATAAAGAAAAAATGTGAAATAAAAGGAAAATGTTCACTTGGTGGATTCGGAGTGGAAATTGATGGAGGAAAACAATTGAAGGAATCGTTTTAGTCAAGCCTGATGATGCTGACTGATTTGATGGATTGAAACTATTAAATTGCTTGCGTCTGAGTTCTTTCATGTTAAATTGCAAGATAATGAGGAAAAGAGAAATAAATTCGAAACTTTGAGAATTTTTAAATCGCATTTCCCTGTGTGAACTTTTCACGTCGCCCATGCTGTGTCTGTGCCTTGAATTTCAAGGTAAAATTTGAATTACTTCATGAAAATTTATCTTTATATTCATCTCCCCGGTATTCGCAGCTTCTTTCTTCATTATTCTTTCGACTATTCTTCCAAACATTTACTTTGCTTTGCTCTTACATTGCTGAAAACATTTCCGACGAAGAAGTAAATGTTCGGGAATAATTCATGTGCTAGAAATAATTGAAAAAGAGAAGGGAAAGTTCTTCATTTCAACACGATGGTAAACAAAGTAGGAAGCAAGACACTAAAAAGCTTAAAGATAATTGTTAAGATTCACGATGATGATGCTTTGGGAGACGGTGGAAGAGATGAGAAATTAAGATTTTTATGTCATCTGGGATATATTTAGCATACGAATCACCTGCCTGTTCTAATTGTAAATGTATTTTAATTAATTTTGTCGGTTACATGGAAAAATGTTTTCTAGAATAAATTCTTGATTTATGAATTTATTTTTATGATGTTCTTGGTAATCGACTGCTTTAGGTAAATTACCATCTGCTTTACATAAAACATTGGCAACAGCATAAAAGCTGCGATGAAGTAAAAAATAATGTTGAATATTTAACCTGGCAACCCTAAACATCCAAACGAAATCTGTTTAATAGCTGTTCGCGTTTAGGTTTTTATTTTCATGGCAGAAAGAACAAGATTCGTGTCAGTGTCATTAAATTTAATTTAATGTCTTTTTCATTTTCATTTAATGTCCAACCAATGCCTTTATTTTATTTTTCTAAATTTTATAGAAAAGTCATTTAAATATCTAAGCAAACGATGACCATTTATTATCCTTAGATGCGAAGAAAACTCAGAAAAAATCGTCCTGAAACTTGAAAGTTTCTTTGCTTGAAGAATCTTTAAAACCAAACTTTGGAAACCATCGCAAAACTTCTTTCGTGAGTTTCCTTTTTTATCGGAAATCGATTTGAATAACGATAAAGGATTATTTTATAAGGACGAAGAAAACAAAGATTTTTTCTATCAAATAAAACGTTGTCAAACACCAAAAAGCTTTCAGAAATATTTTCATTAAAAACATTTACATAAGATCCATATTATTTTTATGTAAACTTGATATGTTTTTTTGTTTGAGATAAAAATGGTTTCGAATTTTATTCTTCATTGATTGTATACTTTCGCTTTTTCGCCTTCACAAGAAGTGAGAATTCTCTGCGTCAATATTCGAAGGAGGAGAGGTAACAATGGCAAAGTTGAATCTTATGGAAATAATCTTTTTTTTTTATTTAAGCTCCCCCAAGCAAAAGTTAAACTCGTAATACGAAACTTTTAACAATGACATAGCTGGGTAAAATGTCAGAGTACTTACCGATTACTTCTGGTGGGCGGTGTTGCGTAAGGAACTGATAAGAATGCCTCGACGGGTTTGAGAAATTTAAAATTATCTAATGGCAAAACCAATCCTTGGAGGCGCCCATAGCGCGTTTGAACGATTCTTGTTCCAAGTCGAGCATTCTTGTATATATCTGCTGTTCCAGCACAGGATAGTTTTACTAATAAAATTGAAGTTATGATGATGTTGCACACGAACGTCGATATTCTTATAAACATGGTTGATGAATTTTTGAACACTTTTAATTATTTTTTATTTTAATTTTACGAGATTTTAACATTCTTTAACTAACAGTTCTGGATATTTATAGGATTGATAGATGTTTTGATATTGAGTAGCGTTTCTTCTCGAATACTTCTGAAATGAAATGAAGATAAAAAGAAATGGAATTGAATAAATCTTTAAGGCACTTTGTAATAAAAATATTTCATTGACTTATAAACATTTTTAATATTTTAAATAAATCGAAGGAAAAAACTAAATAAATATTGACGATAGTTAATAAAATCTCGTTAAAAACACTTTCAAACAGTAAACATAAAACTAATTTCATTTTGAATGCAGCCTTTTAAACTTTTTGATACTCCGC